GCAGGGCTGGGCTAGTACAAACTTCTGTTTATATAGGAGTAGGATTCATTTACAAACCCTGACAAAAATCAACTAATTTTTGTACTTTTGGTAAAACTTTTTTGAAGAAAAGACTGAAGCTGTTAATGTGAGTGATGCTAATGTAGTTCTCCTGCAAGAAAGAACCGGCGCCTGGCAACTATGGCGCTGGCTCTTTTTCAGCAACGATGCCACTTCTGCGAAGTGAACCGCGGCAAGTTTCCCTTCATTTTGTATATGTGGCTGCGAGGGTGGGAACGGCTTGCTTATACACGTTTTGATGAAATGAGACCTTGCTGGTTTTGTCTTAAATAAACAATTGAGAAATAAACAGCTTTCTGCACATTCTTGATGAAATGGGTTTTTTGGAGGGGGGGGGGAGGTCTGAATAGTAATCATTTTGAATGTGGCAGTTGGTTACCTTGAGCTGCCTGTCACAAAATCACCATCAATGTATTTACAAGTGGATTCGAAAAATGGGGAGCTCTGCCTGCGATACACAGCTTTCCAAACTCCTAGGAGTGAGCCACGCTGCCACACCGTTAAGGCTGAGAGGTTTACAAATGAGACTGATTATAATCAAGAGTCTGTCTAGTTCTCATTGCAACATACTGAATGCAGAGTTGGTAGGTGTGGGATTTTAGTATTCTCACTGAAGGAATAATGGGTTGATAGCATTTAAATGCATCTTTCTTATAGATCAGTTTGCTACTCAATGAGCCTTTGTGGTATATTAACTTCAGTACATCTTTTTACTGTCCTTCAGATATTCTTCCAATGCTCTTCTTTTTCAACTGTTTGGTGTACTTGCAATATTCACTTACGGTCCTTGGTAAATTGAGTCTGTCAACTCTAGTGAGTCTGCTTGAAAGAATAGAATAGAATAGAATGAATAACATTTGGAAGGGACCTTGGAGGTCTTCTAGTCCAACCCCCTGCTCAGGCAGCAAACCCTATACCATTTCAGACAAATGGTTGTCCAATCTCTTCTTAAAAACTTCCACTGTTGGAACATTCACAACTTCTGGAGGCAGGTTGTTCCATTGATTTTTCTGTCAGGAAATTTCTTCTTAGTAATTTCTATTGCTTCTTTCCTTGATTAGTTTCCATCCACTGCTTCTTGTCCTGCCTTGGAGAAAGCTTGACTCCCTCTTTGTGGCAACCCGAGATCTTGAAACACTGCTATCATGTCACCCCTAGTCTTTCTTTTCATTAAACTAGACATACCCAATTCCAGCAACTGTTCTTTATATGTTGTAGCCTCCAGTCCCCTGATCATCTTTGTTGCTTTTCTCTGTACTCTCTCAACATCTTTTTTACATCATGGTGACCAAAGCTGGATGCAGTATTCCAAGTGTGGCCTTACCAAGGTGTTATAAAGTGATATTAACACTTCATGTGATCTTGATTCTATCCCTGTTAATACAGCCTAGAACTGTGTTGGCTTTTTTGGCAGCTGCAGCACACTGCTGGCTCATATTTAAGTGATTGTTCACTAGGACTCCAACATCCCTCTCTTGATGTTAACCTCTCCTAGTTTATCACCACTGACTAGCCACTGTGTTTTCTATTGTGCCATCAATTTTTGCACAAAGCTTTTGATGTTTCCACTGACGTCTTTTAGTTTTAGGAATTTGTTATCCAGTTATGTGGCAGGGAGTCAAATGCATTTTTGTAACCAGTGGAAACTACATTCAAATTGGTTTTTGTTCTCTTACAATTTTTCAAAAACATCTTGTCAGTTATTATTATTATATGTACAACAATGTGAAAGCTCCCAATTCTTTAGCTGGTGTTAGCCTACGCTTATTATGGTAATTCATGAAAGTGCTTTTGGAAAATAATAACAACCACCATAAATGCCTATGCTAGTCCTTTTGAAGGACTCAGTAGGTAAGATAAAAATGCCAAATCGGGGTAAACATCTGGCTGACTGTGTGACCAGCAATAATTTACATTTATATGCTGCCCAATGCCCAACAACTCTGGACAGTTTATAAATGATTGAAAATAGGAAACAAAACAAAATAAAGAACGAAGTGGCAGAGATAATGTAGATTTAAACAGAAAATAAAAGGGAACGTCAATCATCCTCATCAAATATCTGATCAACTGTTTTAACATTATAGTGCTGGACAAAAATAATTCGAACATGCTTTAGGTACAATCTGCAGGATCTGCTCTTATTTAAAGTAGAGACATGTTCCGGCTTCCTGGGTTTTTTGTTACACTTAAATCACTTAGAAAGTTACACTTTCCTAAGAGTATTTCAAGGGTATCATGAATTTAATTTCTTTGTAACAAAAGAAATTTTAAAAACGTATTAACCAAAATGTGCTTTTATATCATATAATAATAATAATAATAATAATAATAATAATAATAGTAGTAGTAGTAGTAGTAGTAGTAGTAGTAGTAGTAGTAGTAGTAGTAAAGTTGGAAGGGACCTTGGAGGTCATCTAGTCCAACCCCCTGCTCGGACAAATGGCTCTCCAGTCTCTTCTTAAAAACTTCCAGTGTTGGAGCATTCACCGCTTCTGGAGGCAGGTTGTTCCACTGGTTTATTGTTCTGTCAGGAAGTTTCTCCTTAGTTCTAGGTTGCTTCTCTCCTTGATTAGTTTCCATCCGTTGCTTCTTGTCCTGCCCTCAGGCGCTTTGGAAAATAGCTTGACTCCCTCTTCTTTGTGGCAGCCCCTGAGATATTGGAACACTGCTATCATGTCCCCCCTCATCCTTCTCTTCATTAAACTAGACATACCCAATTCCAGCAACCGTTCCTTATATGCTTTAGCCTCCAGTCCCCTAATCATCTTTGCTGCTCTTCTCTGTACTCTTTCTAGAGTCTCAACATCTTTTTTACAGCGCGGTGACCAAAACTGGATGCAATATTCCAAGTGTGGCCTTACCAAGACATTGTAAAGTATTTATTGGGTATTCTGTGCCAAACACAGGAAAGACAAACTTTCAGCTAGGTATGGTAGCCCGAGCTGAAAATGTCTTAAGCCTCAGCTTGTTGTAGGGAAGTAGAGCAGGTAGGATAGTGACTTTCTGAGATCCACAGTCTGGCCTCAGGAATGGATAGGACTACTTGTACAAAATGTAGACAAGTAAATTATATGGGCACATAGCATTCCTCTGTGTCCTTATTAGCTGCTGCTTTGCTTAGCAAGACACTTTGTGCATATACTTTAAATTCAGACTCAGTAACAAATCTAGTATTCCACCCCCATGCTTTTCAATTAATTCATCTTGTATTTGGTAGAAATAAACACTGTATAGTCAGCACAATGAATGGGAGAGACCTGTGCATTCAGTAAATTGACATAAATTTCCTGGCTTGTAAGAGCTAAAGCATCATTAGCTTAAATTAGTTGGGTTTTGTAAACCCAATTGTCAGTCTAAAGGCAGCCAATTTGTGCTTTTGAGATAACCTGGTTTCACAAAATTATTCTGCCGGTGTGTATGCTTAGTATCAAAAGCTAATAACACACATTTGTTGTGATGGTGCACATTTTTAAGCATGCAGTCTTAAGACGAAATTTATAAGGGCCTAGAATACCTTCACTGATTAATTTTTAACCTGGTTTTCCACCTTGAAGCAATCCTTTGTTGTTTCAAGCAATGCTACAACATACATGGCTTAATTTGAATCCCAATTTTTTTTCTTCTTACGAAATACACAGCTGGATCTCAGTATATTAATTCAGAACTTTTATTGTGCAGCCTGATTTATCCCAACAAACAGTAGATCTCTACATCTGGTGGAGATCTCTTCAGAAAGTTAAACAATGCATTGTTCACAGACCGTGTATGATGAAGCTTGCCTTTGGACACTGGGATATATCTGCTCTCCCTTTATCCAGCAAATTAAATAAAAACACTGAGTACTGTTCTTGGATTTTTATCACCTTTCTAGTAGGCAAAAGACAGCAGCACGTAATTTTCACTGTTTCTGTAACAACAGACATGGTATGACACGCTAGGCAACTGGCACATCATGACAATGACAACTGCCTTCAGATGGCCTGACCTTAAAGAACATGGAGAAAAGCTTCCTTTAAAAAAGAGGAGATGGCTTGATCCTATACAAAAAAACCATCTCCTCCAAAATAAGAGGTGCAATGGTGAAAACTCAAGGAGGCTAAAAATGCTTCCTTAGCTTGTTAACTCTACAAAGATCCGTAGGGCCCCTCTTCAGCAATACTGGTCATGAGAACTATTACAGCAGGGCACATGGCCTCAGGCTACTATTCTGCTCCAGCACTAGTGGCTGAAACTCTGCATTATAAAAGCAGTGACAGCAAAGAGGTTTTTTAGTGGCAAGAGCAGGCTTTGGCTCATGTATTCCATCTGCTCCTACCTCTTCAAAGTTGCCTCTCGAAATCTCAAGTCACCCGTCCTATACAGGGTTGCACATTTCTGCTTCAGACTAGTCATTAAAAGAGGTCACGTAAAAAGGAGGCTATTTGACAGCTTTGCTGATGGTCTTCTGCACTTAAACCCCAGCTAATGAAACCCGAGATCTGCCAAAGTAAGGAACTTGGCAGCTCTATTCAATACTGACAGATTTAAAACCTTGCATAGCTTGACATGGCCCCGAAGACTGGGCCTGGTATGCCCTAATGGGCTTGTGCTCTAATACCGCGAGAATAATTGTACTTTCTCTTGAAATGGAAATATCTTTTTCTGTGCATCATCAATGATTAAGAACTTTAATAAAATTAATAATAATAATTTTTAAAAATCAGCTCCTATCAGCTGAGTAAAGGAAAGCTGCTTTGCTGGCAGCTCTGAGGTATTATCCTCTCTGGAACTACAGTGACACAGAAGAAGGAAACTGTTGACTAGATTTTGTGTTGAGCCTTAGCTACTGATAAGATACACAACATTCAGTACTTTTCCCCTCTGTTTTGGTTCTGAAGGTCTTTTTTCTCCTCAACAATAAAGTGATTGACATGTGGTTTGATGTTTTTTTCCCTAAAAAAAAAAGTTCTCCACTTGAACATCCTTCAGAACAGAAACTGGAAAAGCTGCCTGAAAGTAGGCCAAAGCATGTGACGTTTCCATAGAAACCAGTTCACAGCAATCCGTGAGAATCACAAGCACTGGAGGAGTGCTTTCCAGCAGGGAAATTGGAGCTAGAGGCGATTATCCCCATTCACCCGTGTCTTTCGCAGGAACCTGCAGGGAAGGAAACAGGAATTGCTAATTCAGCTCAATGGCCCATTTTAAAAATAGTCAAATATTGGTTAGAATTCTGTTGGGGTATCGTGCAATAGCAAGGAAACTGCTGATTGGGTAAGTTATCCCAAATTTCCTCATTGCCTACCCAACTCAGTTGTTGTGAAGATAAAATGGTGAAGCCCTTAGCTCCTTATAAGGCAGTGTTTCTCAACCTTGACAATTTTAAGGCATGTGGACTTCAACTCCCAGAATTCCACAGCCAGCAATGCTGGCTGTGGAATTCTGGGAGTTGAAGTCCACATGCCTTAAAATTGTCAAGGTTGAGAACACTGCCTTATAAGGGCTAAATACAAAAGTGAAATCAAATTAAAAATAATTATCACATGCTAGGAGGAAGAAAAAAAAAGAAACCAACAGTTTCACTGGAACATCTAAGTCCAAATGATAGATGTTCCTCTTCCAAAATCAATAAACTTTTATGGCCTCATACTCGTAAAGGCAGGATGCTTTTGCATTAAATATTAATAGTTCATCACGCTGTTCTCCATTCTGATAGAATTGACCACTTTTGGCACTAAAGGTGGTGCTGGGCTTTGAAATGTAACATTTTCTACCGAAAAGAGAAGCAACATCATTTCAGACATTTGGAGTATTAAAAGACAAGTGGGTAGGAAGTACATGGGAAGGCTGATTCCATAACATAATGTTCTTCCTTCAAAAAATAAAAAAAAGGAAAATTCTATCTCAGCCATCTGGATTAATGTTTATTTGGATTCTTTGCAATGATAACTTTGTAAAAGTTAGTTTTATTTCCTTCCCTTATGTGACCACATATCAAATCTTTGCTGGAAAAAAATATAAGGCAATAATCATGGAATAAGTTGGCTCTATAATACATAATAAGGTATCTTGGGCCAAGCACAGTCAGTCAGTCAGTCAGCCGACACAAACCTGGTACCATATAGATTAGAATAGATACCACTTTGGTGGAAAAGTAACAGCGTTCCATGTTCCTTGGTTTATAGTCACGCTGCCCATATGACCATGGAAATGTCTTTGGACAATGCTGGCTCTCTTGGCTCAAAAATGGAGATAAGCATCGGCCATAGAGTTGGACATGACTGGACAGGGAAACCTTTATCTTTACTTTATTAGAATTTGGGTATTATGCACAATATGAAAATTTAATTCCTACACACTTACCTTCTATCTCGATTGTCAAAATGCTCTGATAGCTGCTCCTGTGAGGTCCTGAAATCTTCAAATGGTTGCTGATATCGTGCTTCCAAAGAACCTTCTCTGGCTCTGCCTGTCAAGAGCTGATTTGGGGAATCAGCAGACCTCTCTCGGAAAGGCGATGCTGCAAAGGGATTAATTTCACCATTTTCCTGTTCCAGAATAGAAAGAACAGAACAACTAAGGAACCTTTGATCTCATTTCTACAGAGAGAAAGAAAATTCAATTCAGCCAGGAATTCACTGGATTTTCCTTAGATCTCCCCTTCCAATGCCATAGAAATACTTAAAAGAATTTGATATTACATGTATACATACATACACACGCACACACACACACACACACACACATTCATTATCATTGAAGAAATTTGTGAAATTTTGTGTAATAGGACAAAACAAATTTAAATACAAATATACTAAGAAATGATATTACTTAATTAAAGGGGTTTTTTTAACCTCCCCTAGTCCTAAAATGAAAACAAACCCAGTTCTTCACAATCATTTCATTAAAATACCAATCAACAAGCTAGCTTAACTTCTTACTGAGGTTTGAAAGCCAGTTTCATTTTGGTGGCCAAGTTAGCAGGAAGTTTCGAGAACTTTTTTTTAAAAAAAAATGAGACCCAAAGCATTGAGTAAATTACAAGATCACTGAAAACACCCATTTCCCCCTATTCTAGGAAATGCAGTAGCTACAGTTCTTTTAAAAAAAAACCAGTAGAAGTGTTTGTTACCATGCATAAGCAAATTTATTTGGCTTGCATGTTTACTCTTACACGAAAAAGCCATTCCACTATAGTCCCTGCTGTTAATTTAGCTTGGAGATCCTAGGGGCAAAAGAACTAAAAGTTCTTAAATTCCTGTTTTATTAAACCTTGGTCTAAAATCAGCCTAAAGAACCTGACAAGTACATCATAGGCCTTCTCTTTTATACTTGGTCTGCAATATTGCATTCTAACCACTGCATCAAGAGCCGTGGTGGCACAATGGTTAGAATGCAGTACTGCAGTCTAATTCTACTGACTGCCAACTGCCAGCAGTTCGGCAGTTTGATTCTCACCAACTCAAGGTTGGCTCTGCCTTCCATCCTTCTGAGGTCGGTAAAATGAGGACCCAGATCTTTGGGGGCAATATGCTGACTCTTAAACTGCTTAGAGAGGGCTATAAAGCACTGTGCAGCGGTATATAATAAGCTATTGCTATCCTTTTGCCCCAAGTGGGCTGAATTCTGAAGAGCAGGCAAAGAAAAGACAAAAATTAAGTTTGATTAGTTTACTTTAAATACATTTAATGAAACACATTTCATATATATTTAATAACTTCCTGCTCTTATCATAATTAGAGTTCAGCAGCAATTGTGAAGGATATATGTGGCCCTAAGACATCAGGTTGATGTATCCTTGATAAAACAGATCTGAAGCAGAAAGCACATTGTCTAAAGTATGCCAGAAAGTATAAACATGCAATGTTCCCAAAGAGACATGATATTGTAAGGCTATTGTTGGCACATAGGTTCCTTCCCCCCCCAAATCTTAGCCATTCTTGGTTAAGTGTAGATTGATTAACGAGTTTCTTCTTAAAGCTAGAATAACCTTTGTCCTGTTCTACCCAGTTACCACAAAATAGTGGTATTCAAAATTCGTTTGTAAAATAACAACTTACCATGAGAGGAATTATATCTATCTTAACAAGCAAGGAGGCCAATTCCAGATCCTCACTGTAGTTGTTCTTCAAAGGCACAGCCCGGTATCCTCAAAGATAACAAAATGAATTATTAGTAGGGAGCAAGTCAGTAGTGTTGAACATTTATAATCTTTATTATGCCTTTTTAAAATCTAATGCTATGTTGAGCTTTCCCCCCCCCCCTTTATTGAGCTGGTCATATACACAATGACAGCTGTATGTTTTAGGACCATTTATAATTTTTTTTCAAGGACTACTATCTGTATCAACACAGTACTTTCTTCTCATTTACCTGTCTTTAGGCCTTTAACCAAGAAAGTGGCCTGAGCTAAGAAGTTCTGGTCACTGAACATATCTTCTTCATATACCACGAAACGCAGAAAAGCAAAATCAGGATTACTGACATGGAACTGAAAAGTCTTTAGGGTCCAAGCAGGATTCAGACCATTGTCCACTATAGTAAACAAAAGATACCATCAGATATATATGGAAATATATAATACTTTAAGCAGCAGTGAACTTAAACTATAACCAAGATGTTTTATGATTATTTATCTTCTCTGCTAAGCACAAAATTGTGTTTCAGAATTTAACTTCTAAAGCACCTTATACTTAGCCTGCAATACTGCATTCTAACCACTGCAACAAGAGCCATAGTGGTGCAGTGGTTAGAATGCAGTATTGCAGGCTAATTCTGCTGTCTGCCAACTGCCAGCAGTTCGGTTGATTCTCACTGGCTCAAGGTTGACTCAGCCTTCCATCCTTCCGAGGTTAGTAAAATGAGGACCCAGATTATTGGGGGCAATATGCTGACTCTGTAAACCGCTTAGAGAGGGCTGTAAAGCACTGTGAAGTGGTATATAAATTATTGCTATTATTTTTAAGAGACAAAGATTAATAGTATTTTGAAGTAATTTTGGGTGAATTCAGTCAGTATTATTCAAAGTGATAATTGAAGCAATATTTGATTATGTGAAAAGGTAAAAACAAATGGACATCCCTTCTAAAATTATGATTAATTATTACAGGCAGAACTGGACACGGACAAAACCACTTTGAGCGGGCCTTTTCTATTTATCTGATATTATTCAAGACAATGGGAAAAATCACTGCACTAGTTTCCATTAGAGGTGATAAGATTGCAATGACTGAAAACGGGCAGCTGGGTCTTATTGTCTGAAGCATAATAATTCCTGATGGGAGAAGATTCCAAGCCTGTCCCTGAATGTGTGTTTCAGACTGAGACAGTTTTAAAATTAAGTCTCTATCCCTCTCTAAAACTGCTTTTTTATTGGGGGAAAGCAATGTAACTTAGAAGTTACGAACTAGAAAGTTCTGGTGGTTGAACATATCTTCTTCATATACCACAAAATGTAGACTAGTGAACTTAAGATTACCAGTTGTGTTCATGGCTGAGTAGGAATCCTAATTTTGGTCTTTCAGGCCCAAACCCCATGTGACCCAACTATGGTATGTAGTTAAGTAGAAAAGGCAGGAGTTGACACATTTACTGCAGCTATTGTCAACATACTTCACCAACTGCTTTTCTCACTTCTCATTCTCAAGAGGATAGAATTAAAGACTCCACTGTCTTATTACAAAGAAACACACCAGTTACAAAGATTTAATTTCTTCATTTGTCGGCTAGGGCTATATAAACTTATTCCTTAAATTTGTGGATTTCTTTCACAATATACTATCTAAATCTGGATTAGCATAAACATCTTGATTAACTAAAGGGAAATAACTGTTTAAAAACTTGAGATAGAAACATCCACCTCTGGAATAAAAAAAAATAGGCTGCAGTTAAAGTGGTTTACACCTGATGTACACTGATTTAAATGGAGGTAAGCATTCATACTTTTAAAGAAATCAGATTTATATGGCATTAGAAATTAAAAAAGAACAATTCTAAAAATGGCAAGAAACATAAGCTAATAGAAAAGTTATACATTATCTTTAACGTATTAGGTTATTTTTTTCCAAAAAAGATATCTTAAAATTTAATTCATTGTAAGAAAATATTTCAGCTTTTTACTGCATACTGAATAAATGAAAATACTACATTTTATATTTGCAAACACAAGAAGCTGTGGTGGCCAGAAACACGGAAACTTTTAAAAAGTTTTAGACAAATTAACAAAGGGTAAAAGCTTGCTAGTCAATACATATTACCATTATTATTGAAGGCTGGATACACTCAAGTGTCATTCACTATGATAAAGAAGCAGGAAAATACTACAGCATTATTGTAATACTGTAAGACCCTCTTTGAAGGAGATGGGTGGTTTAGAAATATGAAAAATAAATAAAATAAAATAATAAATAATATCCTGCTTCTGGAATTCCCATAAACAGTGGTTGACCAATATCGAAATGAATTGTTAGTCTTCTTTACTTTTGTGTGTCATCGTACTAAGTTTCTCTTTTGCTTATATTGTAAAATCTCTGCAGATATTTAGATTCCTTGAATTGCATAGTCTAATTAGTAATTGCAAGCCAATATCCTGGCAATAGATGATTCCTGAAGGCGGAATCTTTATAAAGGAACACACATAACCAGAACAAGTGCTACTTAACAACAATAACAGCAACAACAACATATATACTTCATGATTGGACTTTTTTTTACAAATCTGAAAAGTTCTTCAATTGTTGATTAGACAAGGACAGGATTAATGAAGAACAGGATTTGATTTTTTTAAAAAAAAAGAAAACTAGCCCAAGAGGTAAAGAGTCCAAACTCGTAAAACCTAAATGCAAACAAGTTCCATTTGTTGCAGTTTGAGTAACTACAGTTACTAAATAATATTTACATATAAAAAAATTGTTCTGAGGTTGGCAGGGGAGAGAATGTTGACTACAGAAAAGCTGACACTTGCTTGAATATGATCCCAAATTGGTATTTTTCCGCATACAAATAATTTACGCTCTAAAAACTTTTTATATAAATTTCAATTTAGTTCAAACATCTGCTCCAGTTTAAATAGCTTTTTCCAATTCTACAGTGCACAATTCAAAACAAAAAAAAGATATTATCTCCACTCTCTCTTTCTAATGTAATGCATGTTAAGTAATCTATAGTTGTACAGGTTTATCACTGTGGTGGCCTACACTTCCAGAGTTAGTATCGAAATAGAAAGTAGCACCCTATCATCTGCCCAGAAGAATGTGCAAATATTCAGTGAACAGGAAACATTTCTACACTTCTTGCCACATTAAGGCCCCATAGTAAATTTGAAATTAACTGCCCACAGATTCCACAAGCATTTGCAAGCGTCTTTTTCAACCAGAAAACATGAAAAAAAACAGACAAGGGGGAGCAATAGGACAAAAGTACAGGTGTGAGATAAACTCTGCACCTGTCCGATGATGAAAAAGAAGCTGGTTTTTAAAAGTGATAGGAGAAGAGGGGATTGTTTTCAATTGCTATCATTATATAGGAGATAAAAAATAACACTGACATCTTTGGCAATGGAATCTGAAATTGAAATAGCAGGATCAGGTACTCACCCACCATCTCGGTCTTCTGTTTTGCATTATCATAATCTGCTCCAGATACCTCAACCTCTACAAATGGGCAAACAATTCCCCTTCCGTTTTTGGGAAGATGTCGTGCCCCCAGAATCTGGACAAGACACACAGAAGGGAGAAAAATCATACTGTTAGATATATTTCTGGTAGATTGACCCAAATGGTTACAGAGACTTCAGTCAACTGATGCAGTTATCTACTTCCTAAGGCTCTTCCCTTGAGAAAACTTTAATACCAATAACATTTCAGTAGAAAAAAACAATTAGAATCTGTGCAGGGATTAAGTTAGTGGTGTTCAAAAATGTTGAACTGCTACAATTAAAAATCTTTTTAAGGACAAGTTTTAAAACTCCTATGGCCATAGTGATCCTATGGAAGCCCAACTAGTGTGGTTAGTTAATGGCTCAATGTGTCATAGGAATCCAGAAAATACATTAACTAGTATCATGGTTAGAGTTCTAAGTAAACATAATTAAGGTTGCACTGCCAGACTGAAGTAACTGGAACAAATTAGCTATTATTGACTTAGGTTCCAGAATGGAAATTACCCTTAATACACCTGGCCCTCTTATAATTAGCTCTTATTCCCTACTGTGCTGTATCAGTCACACTGGATAGGATTCATAAGTCCTTTATCTATATTGATATCCACTCCCATTTTTTTCCTTAATAATCCTAGAATCGCAGGCGTAGGCATTCTGTTTGGTCTTCATTTCCCATCATCTTCAGCCAACAGGGCCAATTACAAGGGGCAAGAAACATGTCAAGAGCCATAAGTTGTTGTCTGCTGCAATAAATGGTGCAATTGTCAACAAAAACAAAAAAACATAGTCTAAAGGGTGTTTAGTGATTGCATTCTACATTCCAAGGTGGCTAGAATCCATGGTGTAGGTCAGGGGTAGGCAACCTTGGCTCTTTTATGACTCCTGGACTTCAACTCCCAGAATTCCTGAGCCAGCCATGCTGGCTCAGGAATTCTGGGAATTGAAGTCCACGAGTCATAAAAGAACCAAGGTTGCCTACCCCGGTATAGGGGTAACACACATATACACATAATTAAATAAGTCCCTACACAAAATTAATCAAAATGGATTTCTAAACAAAGGGAGCCACCTACGGGTAGGAAATTTATATGTCTGTCAACTGTCTCCCTCAGAGAATGATTTTTTTACTAGCAGATCCAGTGATGGTTTGGCTCATTTATCATTTGTCTCAACTAGTTTTTTGTTAGAGAAGCATTGGCCAAGTAGCAACTACTATTTTGGTTTTCCCTGGCTACAGGATTGCTCAATACACTGATCTAAGAAAGAGCAATACCCATACCAAAGAGCCGCAGTACTCTATGCAGAGAACAGATGATTGCGGGCCTAATCCAAAACATGCATTTTCACGGATTTTGATCCACATAGAACAAAACAAGTTAGTTCTTGATAGAAATACGGGTGGGGATATAAGAGCAGAAAAAACCAAGATTAGCCTTGACAACTGTGAATGTGGACAATGCAGTAGTGAAGAGAAGGCAATAAACAAAAGGAAGATAGGAGTTGGAACGAGTCATGTGGGGCATAAGATTGAGACATATGTGGTATATGTTGCCTAGTAAGTCATATCAAATGAGATATCCATGGCAATTATAGGGGACATGGGATTGAAGGCACTAGGAAAATTATGGGAGATGGGCCAATTCAAAGCCATATGAAGGAAGAGTTGGAGAGAAGACTTTATTTTGACTAGAACAATGTAACATTTAAAGGTTATGAGTCTGATTTCTGCTAAAGCACACTTGTCCTGAAATAGTTTAGCAGAACTTCCAGAATGTGACAGTTTGTTTCAAAGTAGAACATATTTCCAGGATTTTTTTGCATGGCTTATTATTAAACGTATGTCTATTTGAGATGAAGTAAACAAAGCTGACAAAGCCAAAGAATGCCATCTATGGATTTTTCCTCCTAAATGAATTCAGCTAGCCTAGCAGACTATCTCCCTTCAGGAACCAATTTTAGATGCACTTGTTCACCCAGGTGCTAAAAGCTAAGCTACAACAAACTGCTTGCCTTTCAAAAAGAAATTTATTTTATTTATTCTTTAAAAGATTGTTCATTTTATTTGTTGATTTGTTTCAAAGCATTACTTTACTTGTTCTCTTGTAAATAGCTCATCTAAAATAAAGAGCAGTCTAAAAATAAAATGATTATTAATAGTAACAATAACAGCAACAACATGAAAGTTGTACAACATGTTCACTTTTAGTCTGTCTTTGAGAAGTCCGATTTCCTGTTTATTAGGGCCAGAATTATGGAGTAAAAGTCAACCCTTCCAGCTGAATGACTGATATTTTATGCTTGAACCTGGGATTTTTTTAATCTTAAACATAAAACAGTGTACATCACAAAGCTGAGTTCAAGTTCCTTTAGACCAGACATGTCAAACTCGCGACGTCACATGACATCGCACAACGTATCGGGAGAGTTTTGCCATTGCCGGCAATGGGTGGGCGTGGCTTCCGCATGACGTGTCCGGCCCACGGGCCGGCAGTTTGACACCCCTGCTTTAGACTAACTTTTTTAAAAGCAATAAACTACAATAAAACATCATTCAGCTAATGAGAAACTTAAGTTGGATAATAGGTGAACTGAAGGAAATCAGGGGAAGAACTGATAGGTACAGTTTGTTTGTTGAGCCACATGTTCCTACAGTTGGGAATGTTTGATTTTTAAGGAAAAGAGTTGTGGAGTTGAATGTTAAAGAAGTGAGGAGACAGAAAAGTGGGTGGGGAGAAGATGAACACAGAGAGAAAGAGACAACAAAGGGAGCTGGTGACTGCCAGGATGATGGAAATATGGGCAAGGAAGGAATTTACTAGCAGTCTTAGCTGAGAGAATTCAGAGTTGGCTGGTAGAGAGGAGATGGGGATAGAGGAAGACCAGGATAGGATTTCTGGGCAAGAAATTTGGCCTAGAAGGTCTTGACTCAATTAGAACTACAAGCTGTTGGTGGTGGCACTGAGCTTATACTTGAACATAGGTATAAGCTCAGGTATCAGCCAATACCAAGATGGTAAAAGTGACAGAGAAATCTTCTCTTACTGCATCTAGTTATTGGCCTGCCTAGGTTTGTTCATGTGATGTCTCCATCAGCATTGGCTGTTGATTAAAATCAGCTCCAGTTAGTAAGGTATTTACTAAGCAGAACTTACTTTTGATTGTTGCAGTAGCAACGCCATGTGTTCTAGGATTGTTTTTAGGTCAGTGTTTCTAAACCATGGCAACTAGATATGTGGACTTCAACTCCCAGAATTTCCCAGCCAGCAAGAATTCTGGAAGTTGAAAAGCAAACATCTTAAAGTTGCCACAACTGAGAAACACTGTTTTAGACTCTTCCAAGTACTTTTAGGAAATAATCCTAGAAGAAAAACTGAATTTTCTTTTTCAATAGGCATGTGGCTCTAAAGTCCTTAAGTGTTTAAGTAGTTTTAAATAAGGTTTAGCTTAAGCCAATGAATACCTTGTAAACACGTGTGCCTGAAAACAATTGGAAGATGATGCTATTTTTGATGTAATGGTATGTTTAGGGTAACAAAAATGAATCTATGTAAATCTTGAGCTTAGTCAATAACATCTTCTCTTTGCAAATCTCCACCTCCAGCATAATTGTGGAGATCAAAAGCATTTGCATCTATTTTTAAACTATGGTAAATTGCTACACCTTAGTAAGGGCAGATGAAAATTAGTATTATTTATAAAAACAAGTAAAAAACAAATCATGGCTTCAAGTGTTGTAGCATGTTTCAATAAATCAGTTTAAACCAAATTCAGAATTTATACATAGTAAGAAACACCTGGTAGTTTAAACCAGGAAGTGGATGTCACCATCTCTTCTTTATGATAACATTTGGCTTACTATTTCAAAATGATGTTACAAATTTAGCAGAATATACATCTTTTCATCCTGAATATATGATTTTAAAAAGTGAAAGCTAGATAAATTACAAAGATTTCTTGAACAGAAAAATGTCTGCAGACATGTACGAACCACAAACGTCTTATCCTTTCAGAGTATAATGTAACCATCTTTTGAAGCTCAAAGCAACGAAGGGAAAACAGAGAAAAGAGACACATTCAACCATAATAAAGTCAATATTAGAATTCATTCTAGTGATAATCATAAAATACACACCTCAATGGAGATGGAAAGTGGCACCATGCCACGCAGACTGTTCTTGTCAAAGGGATCAAAGATATCATCCCGCATGTTGGCTGGTTGCAACACAAAGCCACCTTGGCCTCCAGACATGAATACAGCCTGATTCATCTGCATTGGCTTATCTGCAAAAACATAGGCATTTCAATGACAAACACCCCAACATCAGTAAACTAATATTGCAGTTTGGTAAAATAATAATAATACCTAGAAAGAGTACAGAGAAGAGCAACAAAGATGATTAGGGGACTGGACGTTAAAACATATAAGGAACGGTTGCTGGAATTGGGTATGTCTAGTCTAATGAAGAGAAGGATGAGGGAGGACATGATAGCAGTGTTCCAATATCTCAGGGGCTGCCACAAAGAAGAGGGAGTCAAGCTATTCTCCAAAGCGCCTGAAGGCAGGACAAGAAGCAACGGATGGAAACTAATCAAGAAGAGAAGCAACCTAGAACCAAGGAGAAACTTCCTGACAGTTAGAACAATTAACCAGTAGAACAACCTGCCTCCAGAAGCGGTGAATGCTCCAACACTGGAAGTTTTTAAGAAGAGACTGGACAGCCATTTGTCCGAAATGGTATAGAGTTTCCTGCCTGAGCAGGGGGTTAGACTAGATGACCTCCAAGGTCCCTTCCAACTATGATGATGATGAGGATGTTTGAATAAATCTCTTCCTAAAATTTAGTGTTTGGTGCTTAGTTCATAAATCCTGAATGCAATTCTCCATGCACTAAAGTATTAATTTTTTAGCATGTGAAAGATATCTAACCACAATTTCTCTGCAGTAGTCATTTTATTCAAAATATGTTCATCTTAACTGAAAAAAATACTTTTAAGAAGCCAACATTCATACTCTTTAAGGCTATTGGCAGTTTAAGATGCACAATTTATTTACTTTGACTTTCTTATTGATTCAGCATAGTCCTAGGAAAGAAAGAGGCTCATGTTGTTGGCAGTAGTATTGTTTATTTGATGTACTTACCGAAGTTTATATGCTGGTCCAACTGAAAATGACTGAGCGGCTAACAACTCCAAATACAATAAAAGGTTTTTAAAGAGACAGAAAAAAATACAATGCAATCATGCACAACAAACTCAGACAGGCACATAATTAACAGTGAGCAATATGCAAGTGGCACAAAGATTAAAATTGTTCTCAAAAGGCCAGGCTTTAATAGCTATTGGAAAACATAGCGTAGTGGAGACTGTTTGAACTCAAGAGGAAATGCAATTCCAGAAAATGTGGGCACCAATGACGAAGGTCTGTGATAGTAACAGTCTTAAAGGATTGGGACTCAGAACAAAAAAATCTGTGTTGTATCAAGCAGCAATAACATCTTCATGCAATAACATTTGCCAAGATGGTCAAAGTGTGGCCTTCCAAATATGGCCAAACTATAGCCCCTGGCATCCCTCATCGATGAGCATGAAGTCTACCAGGACACCAATTCAACAACATCTGGAGGGACACATATTGCCCATTCCTGCCATAAGCCAAAGTCACCACAATAAAATATTCAGTAAAGAATTGGCCTCACCTGGTGTCTGAAAGTTGAGTGCCACCAACTGGCTGCCACAGATCCACATGGGGAGGGGATCATAATTGGAAGAGTCAAGGCGCTGTCCTTTGGGGTATATGCGGGAAAGCTGTAATCGGTTGTACTGTAGAAATTTCTTCCCTTTGATCTTGTTGACATACTTTTCTGCTTTGGTTTCAGGAAAAGATGACATATCTCTATAGCAGGCTCTTTCGGTGCCGATTTCTGTAGAAACAACAGGGAGATGCCAATCTGCAATAATCTTAATTCCTCACAAAATAAATGAGAAATGTAAAAAAAAAAGTTTGAATGAGATGTATATTTCTTCACAATGGTATATATTTTAAGTCAGGATAGTCAGGAAAATTAGAGTAATGAAAACAAGTATCAAAATATTGAATAAATGATGCAATTTTACAATGTTTTTAAGATTTTGATACAATATCTCAAAACAAATAAACTTGAAAGAGCCCATTCATTTTAGTTCTAGAACAATTTTTTTTTGTTATTTTACCACAATAGCAGTAAAACACACTTGAGAGTTTTGGAAGTCACATTGGGACAAAAATAAACTATCAACCTGCTGATACAAATAATTTTTAAATCATAATGTTCACCAATCATTAGATTTTTGGGATAACCTAATTTGGGGATAATAATCTAATCTAAAAATCTAATTCTGGGATAATGTATATTTTTTAATCTATTTAATTTTTGTAATTTTAACTATATTTATAATTGCTTTTATATAGTACATTTATTTTTATTTATATGCTCTGGATAGCAAAATGGGTGCCATATAAATTTAATAAATAGATAAGTATGTCCAGAGTCATGAATACTTACTGTCTTCATCGAAGGGAACAGGACGACAGTAGATTACAAGCTCTGAAAGCTCCAAAGCTATCTTTTTCCTCCGTTCCATCATCTTCCCTTCAGAGAGCTTCCAAAATAATTGTTAAAACAGATTTCAGGGCTCATGACAAAGATAAATAGCTTTGGAACTAGTACAATGTCCAATTATAAGTAATGAGAAACAGCAACATTCATCAATTATATACAATATTTTAGTCTTCCTGAGTTCTTTGTCCATTTACTTTCTATTTATATAAAATAGAGAGCCCTTGATAGAAACAACAGAGAATGTCAATGTCAAGGACAGTAAATATGAAGATGAAATTTTGCTTTTCTGATCCATGTTTCTACTCCCATAATCAGCAGTCCTTAACTTGGTCCGCTGAAGAAGTCTTGGACTTCAACTCCTACAACATCTAGTCTAGTGTGAGTCCTGTATATCTTTGAAGTAAATATTTTTAACTGAGAAAAAGGAGGGAAGCAATGTCCTGACAGGTTACAAAACTGAGGAAAGACACCTGCAAGAATAAGATGTTCTAATATATTATTGCAACAAAGAGAATAATCACAATATTTGGGGCAATTCTGAATCATAACTATCCCCTGTTCTTAGTTCTGAATATAGCTCATCACGAGGAAAAAAGCTAGCCACAAATAGACACCTGAACATACACCCAGAGTGTAGTTTCCAGCAGTCTGACGAGCATGGAGTTAGACCAAAACACAGAATTATAAGCCTGAACAGATATTTCTGTGCTGCAAAGCAGAGATGCAGATGGGATCAAGGGAAAAATGTCAGCCAGGGAGGAGCAAAACCATTTCATTTCTCATCCCATCAAACCATCTTCTTTCCATTTGTCATTGCAAACCCCATTTGGAAATTTCTGCTGGAATAACAATAGATTCATAACCAAGAGCAGAAATAGAGATTGAGCCACTCCTATAGATATTTCAGCATAGGATTCTTAGTCCTGATTTGCTGAATATGCCATACGGTCTTCTGTGTAAAAAGTGGAGCTTCTAACTGATAAAGCAATTCTCCCAAGATATGTTCAGCCCATGGAATCAGTTAATTTTTTCAAGGAAAACATCTAACAAGCTTTACACTCATCATACTGTGGCCTGAATGAAGTATATATGAGGGCTTTTTTTTTTTTTTTGACTCTGAAAAGGTTTTTAAGAGCGAGCAACCTTTACCCTGGCATCAGCAGTTTGGGCTGCCTCACGGATCTTCTTCACCCAATCCAACAGGTCTTCATGAGTGTCAGCTGCAACATCCAGTGACCACCGTGAGACAGATGCCATACTAATGGAGAACACAAACATCCGGCTATTCTTCCCCTCAGGGCGGATAGCTATGTCAAGATGAGTAAGGAACAAAAACATGGGAGATTGTCATTAGATCTTCATAATCATCAACATGTCCAGGATGAGCAAATGACTAAAATCAGGGTTTCGGCCAAAAAAATGTCTCAATAGCATCACCCAATAGAAAAATTTTAGAAGTTGAAACAAAGAACAGAAAATTAGATATATAAATTTTGTCCTAATTTCTTGTTATCCATATCACAATGGGCCATTTTCAAAATGAGTCTTGAATTTCTCAGCATCTAGCCCTTAATTTAAATGCCCTTCTGTGGAACAGGAACCATTTTAAAATTCTTTATACTGTTATCTTTTTCTCACTGTCTCTACCTTGTAGCTCTAAATCTATCACTCTATTTTTGTACAATATTTTAACTGAATGCAGACAAGGCTAAACTGTGTCACTGATCCATTTACAATTGCTTATTTAAAAACCAAACTGGTTTTCTATCTGCAGGGCTCACTAACAAGGAAGGAAGTTCTAGAGAAACAGGACATAAAATGGATTTTTTTCCCCTTTTCCCTCCATAGCTTACCAATCTGACATGATGGTACATCCAGTACTCCTCTGAGTAGATCTCCCAGAGGGCTATTTTCATCTAGCTGTTGCTGGAAGCAAAATCATAATATATTTGTAAAGATTTTACATTTTTTAGTTTGCTCTGTCATATAAATTTCAAGACGATCCATTATTCGGATTAATGCATTTTATTTTTAAAAAGCACACATATTACAAAACTATTAAAATGCTTTGCTTTGCCTTAGCTACCACGGTATTTACTCCCTGACACTCTCTCCTTTTTCTGCTTCTGCATTTTCCCACACCTCTGCAATTTCTGGGTAGCAAGGATCAAGTGGATAATAAATGCTGAAAGCCAGTAAAATAAATTTGATCATTGCCTTTATGATGTTTGGAGGAAAAACAGTTTAGCTACAGCTGCCCTTCATTTGTAACAAAAACTGTTTCTAAATCATGGTACATGAAGATAAACAACCAACAGGGGAAAAACACTTCTAGATTAAATCCTCCTCTGATTTGTGCACATGATTCATGCAGATGATCTACACATGCATTATACATTCCTAAAGGCATCTCTACTGTTTGCCATAGCAAGCATCCATCTGCAGTAGGGGTTATAGTGCAGTAAAACAGTCAAGGGTCAGAGTGAGAACCTAACACATAAAATCCTTTAGAATGAGAGGAGAGGGGAGGGAAGGGGAGGAGAGGAGAGACCAACTGAGAGCAGACAAGGAGATGAGCTAGACACTGCTCCGTTACTGATTGTATGTTTGCTCATATAAGATTGGGTGGGCAACCTTAGAAAAAAGGATGGGGTCTTCAGGTAGCCTTTTTTCAAGGCAATATTCAGACTGAAGACTGGATTTTTTGGGAAGAAACTTTGAAATGTTATAGTTGTCTGTCCCTTTCCCCAAAACAAGGACTCACCTCTCTCTCAGGCTCCAGGCCAGTTGGACTAGTTATTTCTTCTACATAATTAGAGGGAAACCACAGTTGCTTCTTACCCCCATAATCTCCTCTCCACCTGAGAAAAATTCAAAGCTCATGCAAATATGTACACATTCTACAGCAATGTTACATTACATACCAAATGCAGTTATCAAAATTGAAATTGGTGGCATTAAACTTAATTGCAGCTTACTAACTAATTGAGCAGAGGAAAGAGCATGCTCTCTGAAGAATGTATTGCTCAAACTAAAGAAAACAAAAATCCCAAACTCCCTCTCCATTGTGTGTAGGAAAAACCATTATTCTATCAAAATAGTTTGAATTCAAGTTAAAGTAACCCTGAACTTGAAACTTAATTCAGAACAGAATCAGGATAAATATTAAGATATAATTAGGAAAGAATATGCAATGCACACCAGAGAAAATAATAGGGGAAAAGTGGTAGGTTAAGAAATACCTAAGCCCATCACTTTCTTCTCCGGAATTTACGGTAACTCTTTCCTAGCTACTTTTTAATAATATGTCAATAGTCTAGCAGGTGCACACATGTGACCCTGTTGATAAACATATCTTTAACTCTATGCATTCAAATTATATAAACTCGTTTTACATGCTTCAATCACATAATGAAACAAAGTTCCATTAAACTAATATCAGAAATGGAGAAATCATCAAATCTTTTCTGGGGGAGCATAAGAAATATTTCATTATCTTCAGAACAATAGATATACCCACCAGCCTCCTTCTTGTTTTTCTACATTTTGGATGATTGCATTTTTTGTGAAGGTGAGCTCATCTTCTCGCTGTGCTTTGTAGTCAAACAGAGCTTTGACAGCACACTAAAAGAAATGCACAAGAATGAAGGCCAGGTAACTATGGCAATAATTGGTATGGTTGTACATATCCGTGAAGCAATTTTGCTAAGGAATTATAGAAGAATCCGTTTGTCCAGGATGAGTGTGTGTGTGTGTGTGTGTGTGTGTGAGAGAGAGAGAGAGAGAGAGAGAGGGGGGGGGGTAACATTTGGAAAGGTAGTCCTCAACTTACAAACTTATGATATACCACCAGAAGGTAGCGTTCAACCCAATCCTGAAGTTCCAACAACTGTTCCCTATTACATGACCGCATTTTGGTGCTTGGCAACTAGCTTGCCTTTACAGGTGTTTGCAGCCTCCTGCATAGTCACATGACTATGATTTACGATGTTTTTTGCTGAAAATTGGCATTTACTATCCATTTTCGGCAAAAATGTCCACGAGCTTAACAACTGTGATTCATGACCATGAGAATCCGCTAAACAACCAGTCAAACAAAGGTTGTAAAATCAGGATGGTCATGTGATGACTTGCTTTACAATCACCACTAGTTATGACCATAATGGGTAGCTCAATTACAGTCATGAGTTGAAGACTATATGCAACGTCCTCTGCAACGTGATTACGACATATACAAATATGAACAAGCTACCGATCTTACATTATTTTTCTTGGATTTCGGGGAGGGGTAGGTATTTTTGTTAATTATGGTAAAATTATTACTTGTAAAATAACTTTTGACACAGTTTTCATATATGTAGGTCCTACCTCATTGATTTTTGGCAACTGATTCCATCTCAGGTTTAATGTTTACTACTGAGGTTCCTCCAGCCTCATTATATACACAAACCAAATAGTTTTGCTAGTGTCTCTGGGGTAGAAAAGTGTGAGTGCATATGTATAATATAGTAAACTAACATTTGCAGAAAGGAAACATTTAGAAAAATAACATGCTGATCCATTTTTAAATCTTCCTTACAAAAATTTATGCAAGAATATGGAAATTACAGCACATAATTCAAATTCATTCCTGCTTCTGCCAGCTGGTAAGTTTCACTGTGCTAATTAGAATAGCATAGCACTCTGATTAGAATTAGGATATCATGTTTCTTAAAATTGTAAAAAACAACATTCATAGAAAAGCCTGGTCCAAATTAAAACTATAGTGTTGAAAATGGGAGTTTAATATACCCCACCCCCTGCAACTTCTTAACACAAACTATCTATTGCTATTATTAGTTCTGACAGTGAGAACATACTGGTATCTAAAGCAAAACTGTTGTATAGTTTCTGTACAAGATCTCAAAAAGATTTCCAAGCATGGTAGGAAAATCCACACACTCTTATTAGCCTAATCAAGATATAAACCAAGAAGTTAGGGAAAATACCTTAAACGTTGGCATAGGGTTGGCCTCCACGTAAAATCCCGGATTCCGTCCTTCATATAGAGCACCATAATCTGGTTCCTAACGAACACAAATGCAATACAGTCCTTTGTACGCTTCTCATTTGCTAATTATTTAGGCAAGACGTCGTACAAAACTGTTTAAAAATGTAACAGAATCATTTAACGAGATAAAACAAAATACAGGGGGAATAAATCCATGGCATGAAAGTTGGCTGGGTGACTTTGGGCCAGTCACTCTCTCTCAGGCCAATTCACCTCAGAATAGTTGTTGTAGAAGAAAGAAAGAGTATTGTCTGTGTTCACCACTTTCAGTTATTTGTAAGAGTAATAAAGGTGGGGTATAAATAAATACCTACATAAAATAAAATAAAATACATTTTAAAAATCTTTCTGAAGAAAGAGGAACATGGTCAGTTATCAGACTAGGAGAAAAAAATAAGGTCTTTTGAGTACCCAGCCGTACCACGAAATCTCCAATTAAGAATATCTTTTCCAGGAAGTGAAACTCTAAAAACATCAAGTATGGTCCTAACTATAACACAGAAGGAAGATCCTGGCTTCCACCCAGTGGAGACCTAGTGCCATACTTACTGCTGTCCCAATCTTCTCCAGTGTTTCTTCATTAATAGGATATCTCAACTTCATTTTGCGATACAATGGGTGTTTCTCATAATAGCTGATTAAATCCACCAGGCTGTCAAATTCTGAATTGCCTAAGATGATTGTCTGACCATCTTGCTGTACACGGCAGTGCTTGATCTTTCCTTCAGCTCTAGAAGATAAAAGACCAGCCCGGCAACTAATTTTCTAAATAACCATGAGATAGTGGTTGAAGAATACTGCACATAGGCAGGGAACACTTCAGTTTGTGCAGATAAAAGAATTAATCCACAGCACTTGGCAAATGTACTCACCGAAAAGAGATTGCATAGGAATTTGACTCACTCCTCTTGCGCACCAAAAAGGCTCCATCCCGGGGCACCCTCATCAGCATGCGCTCAGCTGAATTCCGAGTGAGATTAGCATGGTACCATCTGGGAATAAAAATAAAATAATTTACGTCATTTCCTAGGCAGCAATTCCTGAAAAGTACTTGGATGCTAAGGTTAATTTTGCTTCAAGAAGAAAAAAGAAAGAAAAAAAATAGATACTAGGCTGTTTCCCTATAGGTTTTGAGATAGGATTTATCCTCAAGATTATTGGATTCCGTATTACAAGCCAAGGCTTTTTTCTTTCTCAGCCCTGGTAGAAAAGTCAGAAACAAGTCACAGATGGATTCTCCTGCAAGCTCTGGATTATCAGTTACGACTCTACTTCAACAAAGACACCTTAAAATGTTACATTTGTGCCAACATTAAATACAGTCTAAATATTAACCAGTATTCCACGTTGGCATGCCTAATTACCACAAGTGTAGACTTAGTGATTGTGTGGGCTGTCAGGAGGTAATAATTAAGAAACCAAAAAGGAGGAAAAAAACACGATTCTATGGCTTATTCCCAATTGCAGATAAGTAACAAGAGTTCTATCTGCACCAGGCCAAGGATAGCTGAAATTTGCAGACAGAATTCTATCAGAATTGAAGGATTAAAACATTTACTTGAATCTCTATATTGATAAACTTTGAAAATGTGTCTCAATGTCCTAGAATAATGGAATAAGACAAGTGGCTGCAAGAAAGAAGGCAATCTTCTTTCTGATGGGAAAGAAGGTATTTGCAAGACCGCCTCCTACCAAACACCTCCCTTCGACCAGTCCGCTCCCACAGAGAGGGCCTCCTTAGGGTGCCGTCGGCCAGTCAATGCCGGCTGGCGACCCCCAGGGGGAGAGCCTTCTCTGTGGCAGCTCCTGCTCTCTGGAATGACCTACCCCCCCCCCCCGACCTAAGTACAGCTGCGGACCTGCGCCTTTTTCGCCGAGCCCTGAAGGCCCACCTATTCCGTGCGGCCGGCCTGGCGTAGTTTGATTATGTTTTAGTGGGGGTTTTGTATGGGGTATTTTAGAGCAGGCCTGTTATTTAATTTGATTTTAGAACAGAAACCTGCGTATATTTATCGTGGTTTTTATTATCGCCTGTTCACCGCCCTGAGTCCCGTAAGGGAGATAGGGCGGTATATAAATTCAATAAATAATAATAATAATAAATCTCAATTATGAGACCCCACTCATAGCATCTCTTTCCTAGAGAAACCTGACTGGCACCAACCATAAATCCACCAAGGGAGGAAGGGAGGGAGACAAGGAGAGAACTAGAAAGTGACTCCTTCATTGGCTTACTCTTTGCTCTCATGTGCATTTGTCTGGGGCACCGGTTCTGTCAACCTCATTTCAAATTCATTGCATCTGAGGGGCACTTGCTGGTAATGAGTAATGAGATCATAGAGGCTATTGAATACCAGGTTATCAGTGAGGAAGAATTTGGGGCTGCCAGCATCTTGCCGGGAATGGATCCGGCAGTGCTGCACTTTTCCATTGCGCCTGTGTAGGAGAAACAACAAAACAAGGATTGATTGTGCTACCCTAGACATGATTATCCAAAGATAAACTCATCATATTCAGTGCACATTACTTTTCAGTGGATATATTTAGAGTGGCAGCCTAAGTTTGGTTTGTTTTTTTTTAGTGTCTCATTATGGATTATGTTTGCCCAACAACACTAATTATACTGCCAGAAAATAAATATGAGAGAATGAGTCAGGTAATGACTGTGGGCTGCATATTTGGTAATCCAATACCTTAGTTTCTTTAACTTAGTGGGGAAGAGGGGGGGGAGGAACAGAACTATTCTGCTTGCTTGCAGTGAATTCTTCTCCTTGTTCCTCAAGGCATTCTTAGGTGTTTGTGCAATGTTGAAAACCTATTTCATATTCCCCAAACCAAGAGGATAAAGTAGCCATATGCATTACAAGCGAATCTGCAGAGCCCAACCTAATCATTAAAAAGGAGAAAACCAGCAAAGCTTGCCCATCCTTACAGAAACCAGTAGCTTCTATTGTTTTGTCAAGCTCTACCCAGACCAACTATTGACTCAGAAAACTTGCAGGCAGAGATTCAAGAACACAATTCTTGACAAGCTAGTTTTACTGCCAATATAAGAAACAACCAATACACTGGAAACTAACAACAGCAAATTGTAGGATATCAGTCCCAAGGTTTAAATCTTAAATCTCCTTCTTCCACCCATGCATCTTAGTGGACTTTCCCTATTCTAGCCCTGCTATAAGTGAGTCTGTAGGAAGCTTTAAAAAAACCCTACAAAAACAGATACTGTACAACCAAATTCTTTACTGTTTTGCAAAATAAAACAACCACCTCTACTTTTCCCTATAAATAAAACCTTTTAGTTTAAAATGGCTGATTTCATGGTAGTTTGCAAAAGCTTTCAGTAACAATGTTGTAATGTAAAAGTTTGAAAATTACTAGTGTAGTTCACTCTGCCATAATTTATTGGATAATGGATAAGGTTAGATTACTGCATAAACTACAGATAATGCAACAAGAATGATAATAAAACAGCATATGCTTGCAAATATCCTTCTATTTGGCATCTTTTCCAATTCTTACCTAAACCAGGACAAATATGCAAATGTATTATTTTCTTAAAATAATAAACTCTTTGGATCTCATAGGTGCAGAACTAATGATTGTATTATTCCCCTATTGAATGTGAACATTTTAGATAACAATTCCATGCCCAAAGGATTCTTACCAGAAGGAAAGAGTGTAATCACCAACAAAGGTCTCACTTTCTCGCACCAGAAATGAGCCATCGGGGGCTCCAGTGTCCACACAATATTCCATTAACAGCCTCTCTGCTATGTGGCGGCCATCACGCCCTGCTCCCAGTTTGCCATGGAACCACTTTTCAGTGGAATGGAGTTCAGTACTGTTGCTTGTCTGCCATGGAAATGAAAAGCAAGCACTTGATTTAGTAGCCTACAGACCAAGAGTGGCTGAATGAGAAGATAGAAAGACACAATTATATTAGTTTGGAAGGAGAGCAACCTCTCTTTTCCAAGTTTTAGACATCCAAACCCAACATTTACCACAACAGGAAACCATTATCTCCCGAGTTTCCCCAAATCTCTTCATTCTGTTATTGCACCACAGCATAAACAGATAGGGCTCAAGTCATGTATCTCTTGCCTCCAGGCAACATGAGATGCTAACATTTCTGAAAATAATCCACTTAAAAGCAAACAACAAACCATTTTAGGAAGTTGTATAAAGTAGCCTTTTATGTTTATAACTCATAATTGTTTCTGGCTGTATGCTGTACCCAGAGTTCTTTCCTTTCATTCTTCAAAAGCAGAAACAGAGGACATTCCTCTAAAGCTCTTCTTTCTTAGCCCCTCTAATACACTTGCCAGAAAAAGGAGAATGAGATTTCCAAACCTGAGTGGTAGGAGAGTCGGCCAGCAAAATCCAAAGTATTGGGACTGGGCAAAAGTTTGCATTCAATTGGGAAGAACTGGTTCACATTCAGAATTGAGAATGCAGCATTTAACGACTCATTAAAACCGCCTGCATTTGTTTCTAGGATTGCATAACTGCCATGGAAAGTCTCCTGCATGCTAGGGACAAGGGCAAAGCTGTTTTAATGAGTCTCAGACAAGTGCTGCCTTTGTTCTACATGTTCTGAACAATTGTTTCAAATCAAATCAAATCAAATCTGAAGCCTCATCGAGTTCTACAAAGCACATGTATGCCAGACAATCTTCTCAGCCCCTCTTCTTCTTAGTCCTTTCATGATTGCAAGCAGAAAGTATAAATATGCCCTTCTTCTAACCCAGGCATGTCAAGCTTGCGATGTCACGTGACGTCGCGCGACGTATCGGGGCTTTTTCCCCCATTGCCGGCAATGGGGTGGGCGCAGTTGTGGTGTGACGCATCTGGCCTGTGGGCCGGCAGTTTGACATGCCTGTTCTAACCCTTTCCAGACTGATCTTACGTCTAGCTTTCAACTTCATCAGTGTTAAGTGGGAATATCGTTACCAAGCTACATTCTTCCCACAGGAAATGGGTAAAACTTAACACACGGCTCCTTTCAATTCAAGAAAAAGTAGTTTCTTCCAGATTTCTTCCCAACAAAGACTAAGAAGAATGAAGATATCCAACCCCTTCCCAATATGTCATAAAATAATATAAATGCAGAACATATGTAATGGAAGGGACCTTATGGGTAATTTAATCCAACCCTTTGCTCAGTGCAGAAATGCACAAAACCATCCTTGCCTCTGCTTGAAAATCTTTAAAGAGGGTGAATCTACCAATGGTCTAGGCCAGGGGTAGTCAACCTTGGCTCTTTTATGACTCGTGACTTCAACTCCCAGAATTCCTGAGCCAGCTGTGCTGGCTCAGGAATTCTGGGAGTTCAAGTCCACGAGTCATAAAAGAGCCAAGGTTGACTACCCCTGGTCTAGGCAGAATGACTCACTATTTAACTGTTCTTCCCATCAGAAAATTCTACAATTTAGCCATCTTCGCTCACTCTCATGTCGGAAGCACCGAGGAGCTTCTGTGATATCTTCTTTCACATACCTCCCTTTGCTCCTCCTCCTCTTCATTTCCTAAATCACTGGTTGTCTCTCCAGAGTAATAGATTTTACTGCTGGTCAAGACAAAATAATGAGGATTCCAGTCCTGTAGAAACATACAACAGTAATTAAGTTGATCCTGGAATAGTCTCCTTAAAGGCCAAAACTTTATATAAAATTCACTAATTTGGACTAAGAAAATGCTGTACAGGAAAAAAAACCCATTATGCTGAGACTCTCATGGATTAACTTCTAAACATTGGTTGTTAAAAATGAAATGTTCAATTCAAACACTGATTTGCTGATATTAAACTAAGAGTTGTCCGACACTTTTCTCAAATAAATTCTTCAGGTCTACAGCTACTATTTAATTGTTTAATTCTGACTGTTTAATTCTAACAATGGGCCAAGAAACTGGAATGTAGTGAAGTTTCTTCTAAATCTCCTCCAGATAGGGCTCCCCCTTCCCTGCATCCTTCTGTCCAAATAACTGCCATATGGAATAGGCTGGATTGAGAGATATCACAAATTAACTAAATTTATCATCAAGCCAGATACTGTAAATGTCATAATCGCATACTCCTTTTCTATTTTCTAACTAAGCTAATTATTTTCAGACTGACAGGTCTTTTAAGCAGAAACCCATAGTCTTGAGTTCTTCAGAGCATCTGACAAAGCTCTTTTTCTCCATGGGGGCAATGAATGAATGAATGAAAAACTTGAAACCAACTCTCTTACCTCTTCAAAAAATAATAATAATAATCCTGAACTGCTTCCATTTGTAAAAAAAATATATGTGCAGAACAACTAAGGAATGCCAGGGCTTTATTCAGGGTTATTAATGCTTATGTGATCATGTAAAGAAGTATTGCTTCATCTGGGCCAAGTACTACCTTTTGTAATAGCTTTATATCATTCTCACAAGTCATGGGCATTTTAATCCCAGACACCATGTGTTATTATTGAAGCAACCTGCCCACATCATATGGCAACGTTCAAGAGTATTGACAAAGAGAAGTAATCTTGTTTCTTCTCTGTCTTTCAGTGTGGCAAGACATATTATAATGCCACAATCGGGATGCTGTACTGAAAGTGGCAGGAAAAGCTTTGCGTGAATCTCTGAAAGAAGCAGACATTTTCAGCATCCCTGTCAAGTTGAGTCAATTGACCAGGGCACACAACTTTATCAGGCCAAGAACCACCCTGGGCTTTCAAATACAGTAAGCATTGCAAGCTGAATCTAAATGGGTGGAGCTGAATCAAAGAAATAGGGCCACAAGAGTATTAAGATAATTAAATATATTAACATGATTACTGAGAACCGATTCAGTGTAGTGGTTAAAGGAACTGGAGTAGAAACTAGGAGAGTGTGAGTTTTAGTCCTGCCTTAGGCATAAAGCCAACTGGATGACCTTGAGCCAGTGACTCACAGCCTAGAAGAAGGAGTTGGCAACTCATTTCAGACAAAGGCTGCCAAGAAATCAAAACTGATTTGAAGGCACAATAATATTATAAATAATTTTAAAAAATCCAATGTATTTAATATTTTTCTCCTTCTGTCAAATTAAAGCAAGAGTGAATATTTTTTCCCCAGGACAGAGATATGGAACAGCATGCTACTGATCCACTGTCCAAAAGTTACATGCAGATCTGTCTGCCATTAAAAAAAATTACAATTACAATTTTGTAACACTGGTGACTCTGGGAACTATATTCAAGGATTTCAGAGGACCTAATATTTCAAAGTCATGGACTCTGTATTAAAATTATAAAGCCAGATTTGGAAATTTCTGGGGAACTGTGCCCCAGACTAGGAGGGGTGTGTATGTGGCCCTAGAACGGCAGCTTATGTAAGATCGTACAAATCAAAGCAATACAAAGAAACCCACGTGGTTGATGGGGTCTTCCAGATAGAGAATTCCATTCTTTATTGAATTGCTGATGTCATTCTCCGAATACACTGCAGATGATGGTACTTCTTCATAAGCACTACCCTCAGCCAGTTTCTTGTGCTACAGCAAGAAATATACATGTAAAGTTATTTTAATAAAATAGTAAAAATCTAGACTGGAATTAGGAGAGGGCATGTAATCCACTGCAAAATTAACTATACTATCTTTTGTGATACTACACAATCATTTGTATTTCCCAGTAGAGCCAAACCTTTTCTGATTTGGTGCAGCACTTCTGGAAATACCAAGAGGGAGAAGACATTTTTTTTTTCCTGGTCTCAAAGTCAATCTCTCCATTCAGCCACTGCGGTAACTTTGCATTTACCCCTTCATAGCAAGGTAGCTTCACATTTCCCCCTTACAAATCACTGTGTGAACCAACAATGCAGAAGAGATGGCAGCCCCTGTTATTTCTGAGCTCTCCTATCAGCTACCAGGAAGAACTGATTGACTTGTGTTATTCTCAGTATTTTGAAGCTAGTGATGGTGGTAAACATTTCTAACTGCACTTGAAAGATTGATCAGTAGAAATAATAGCAGTATGGAAATGCCATTAGAGCTTCCTGCTTTTTTATGGCAACTACGTATGAAATTTCTCCAACAAAAACAGTTGTAGTGGCTTTGGAAGGCTTATGAAGTAAAAGATCTGTGGGCGTGCTGAAGATCTAAAATTAGCAACATGCTTTCAGGTTGAAGAGTGGGTACTACATTTTATTTTAGTATAACTACAAGGCACATACAATTATAAAAATGCTGTTCTCCAGAGACCTCTTCCTGAGAGTCATACAACTTAATTTCTGTTTTTTGATTTTCTGATGCACTTGGCAGGATTTCTCCCATATATTTAAGAAATTCAGTTAAGTAGCAGTCCCAATAACTTGAAAGTCCAAAGTTATGGCTTAAGAAATAAAAACTAAGGGAGCCATTATTTTTTAATTTCATTTGCAATGTAGGAAGCATAACTGTAGAAGGGTGTTTTTTTTGCATACGGTTATTCTAACAAGAGTTATAAATGTGTCATAGTCACCTACTTAATCATTAAAATGCAATACTGACTGATGTATAGAGCAGTTTTGTAGGCCTCATATCACAAGATGTGCAAAGCCAAAATTTATAATATCCCTGCTTTTGCAGGTTAATAATTGTTTGGATCCTAAAGACCAGGTATTCTGAAATAAGTTGCAGTAAATGTGTGGGAGTGGGGGGGGGGGCGGGCGGGGCAGAGGTTAAGAAACATCAATGCCTATGTCACCATTTACATAGACCGCATTCACAAAGGCTACAAAAAGAGCTTACCTTTATGAGAATCTTCCTCTTCAACTGGTTTGGAGATGGCAGACCGTCAGCAGAGATATCTACCGGTTTGGTTAGCAGCATATCTCCAAAGACTTTCTTAAAGTTCTGAGCCATATTCCTCTGCTGGGCAATGCTGCAATGGTCTTCAATGGATAGGATAACAGGATAACTTAAAAGAAACAAAATCATTAAGAATAATTCCAAGTGCTGGTTGTCACCTCTAAAGTCTTTGATGGTCTGGGATGAAGTTATTTGAAGGACCATCTTTTCCCAGTTTACCCGACTCACCAGAGCGGAGAGGCAGGGTATGTTACAAATTTCTTCTCTTAAGGAGACCCACCTAGTGGGACCAACAGAAAAGTCTTCTCCATGCAACTCCCCTTCCCTCCTGGGAACATTATCCCTCAGAGAGATTGGCCCCCACCTTATACTCTTTTGAAAGGCCCTGAAGACATGTTGCCAGTGGGCCTAGGGCCAGGATGACACAGAACACATCAAGTGGTTTGATTTTTTTTTATATATTTAGAATTTTATTTCTATAAGCCACTGCAGTCACCATGAGTGACCTTGATGGCCAAATACGTTTTCTTAATATATAAATAGGATTCTAAATACAATATACTGGTGCTAATCTTAATTCTGTTATTAGTTTGCCTAATGGGGCTTTCGGATCAACTCCCTGAAGAATTAACATTTGACTCCTATAAGATCTGTTCAGCTATCACTCTAGTTTCTGTTGTTCTATCAGCACTCCATCCTCCCTTTAAGATCAGGTCCATAAGATTGAACAATTTATTTTGAAAACAAATAGCTGGAGTATTGAGGAAATTGAGATTTTAGAATTCCATTACTAGGTGTCAATTCAAAGGGCACCAAATGTTGGCACTAATATATGATTCTTTTTGAATACAGAAAATACATTTATTGTGGTAATAGATAAAATACCAATTTCCCCACAGTTCAACAGTATAATGTTTTCTCAAAAATACAAGTTTCTAATGTTCTGGATTGTGAAAAAAATAACTGAAATGCCACCTGAAATTTCTGGATCAGATTTCAAAGCAAAGAAGTTAAAAAAGACTTCTATTTGCTAGAGACATAATTGCAGTAGAATACACAACTCTAATATTCTATTCTTGATTATAAAAATGTATATATGCTATATTTTTAAAACAATGCAAATTATTGCTTAAATAAATTCAGTGTGTCTCAAATGGAAAGTTTTATAGAATCCTCCATTCTTGATGCTGATACACACACACACACACACACACACTGTATATGATAATCATTTGCAAAAAATTAGACTAAGATAGACTACTATACTATCCGCTATCACGCCAGCGCAACATCTTACTTCACATACATATGTTCCAGCCTAGCACTGAAACAATACTTTGTAGACAGGTATGAGGTGCCATAAAATAAGTCTTTAGGGGTCAAGCATCTGAGATAGGGAAAGGCAAATATCCAAAGAACATGGTTTCACAACTGATGTTTTACTTACTCAGAAGTTACAAAAGCATGCTCCTTGATGGTGGTGAGGACATCAGAAAACTTAATTTTTGTAGTTAATGTGTGTCCATGATAAATCACAGGCATCCCATCAGGACCATCCCAGCAATCAACTGAAAAGATAGCCAGTTAAAGTATAATTAAAAGATCATCAATACAAGTTAAGTTAATACTGGAATTAATTATCTTAGATAAAATTAAGCTGCATCCAAAGACAAGTATAAATAGTTGTTTGTCACCTAACAATCCAGGTAGAACACATTTAAATGAAAATGTTTTCCTTATTTCTCTGGAGTGAAAGTGATACCACAAAGTGATACCACAAAGGAAGGCATTTCAGTTCCATGGCACTAAAGGATTGCCTTTTATTTCAAGGTCACAAGCAAGCCTTCCTTCAGAGGTTTCTGATCAAACAATTCTGGGCAAGGTGTATATGTATATTTGAAACTGCCTTTATTTTTGACTATCCATCTGGCTCAATATAATCTATTTTAACCTGCAGGATCTCACAAAATCCCAGGTAGACACTTTCATATCTCTTGCAATCTGACCTTTTTAACTGGAATATTCAGTGTGTAGAGTGTACATTCCACTCCACACTTGATCTATGTGCAACTTTTTTTACGCTTAGTATGAGATGAACTTTTCCTGATCTTTATTAGGCAGATGAGGAAAGAAAATGAGAAGAGACCAGCACTCACGTTCAATACAGCGGCATCCCATGCGCAGGCAACGAGCATAGGCTTCCAAGGAAGACTCACTTGAGAACTGATCTCCTGTCAAGTATCTATGATGAAGGGGCAGTTATGAACATAAAAGCAAGTTGGGTTGGATTATCAGAATATCAAAAAGATAAAGCAGTAGCTCAAATGCAACAGAGAATTGATCAGCAACTTTTTCATGTACACTATCCAATCAGAGTGCATTAGTCTCTGACCCAGATTTCTCTCTCTCAACTGCTCAAAGATTCCTCTCCATGGTATACTGGGGTAACATTAGATGTTTACATTCATCCTAGCCCCACACTGCTCCAATCCAAAATTTCCTCTTCCTTCAAAAAGTTTGAAATAACATAACAAGGTGTATTTATTTAATTGTGCATATCAGGATTCTCTTCATCTAGAGATCCCTAAATTACTGAGTCATGTGTTGACTGCTGCTATTAATGGAAAGCAAAACTCAAAACAGGCAACTCATGTAATAGCTTTGTTCCCTATGCCATCCATCTGATAAACTCGCAAGATTTGTTTTTCTTGCCATGCACATGTATACATAACCCGAACTAGACTGTTGTTTCTCTGTGTCATATTATATATGGGTATATGCATAATTCTATATTTATTGATTTATATAGTGTATATAAGAAGTGATGACCCTTTGAGAGCTGAATGCAACGAAATTTCAGTTTAATGTATGCCAATTAGTGTACATTTAAAGTGACAATAAAGTTATTATTCTATTCTATGATTTGCAGAGATGTAAGACAGTGTATTCCAAGAACTGCATTGTTATCCCAGAAGGTGCTTTTCATACAGTTTAATGCTCTCTTCTCAAAGCAAATTACAAATAGGAGAAATTGTTAACAAGAGAAACCCATTTTTCCATTACGTGTTATGAGAGGATGAGATCCAATAATGGGACAAGGGGTTGTTCATGTCCTCTGGGCGTATGACATCAAACTCCGAGTTCCAGATGCTGTTCTCCTTGGAAAACAGGAAGGTGAGAAACTGTACAAGGGGAAAAAATTGGGGGTGGGGGTGAGAGGTGAAAGATGGAACATTAAACCCCCAAATCTCAGCTGTTTTTTCAGACCACTTCAATTTGATTCTCCCCAGATGTATTGGATTACTGCTCTCATAATTTGGAAAACATGCTAAATTACAATACTGGAAGGGAGTCTGATTGAGGAAATCTGACATAGACAAGATGAAGTTTCTGGGTAGTTTTCAAGATCAGTTCCATGTAGAGAGCATTGCAGTAATCAAGTTGTGAAGTGACTAGGCATGAGTGAGTATTTGAATGGCCCTCCCAATTTAGGAAAGGACACAACTAGCTCATTGGACGAAGTTATGCAAATGCCTTCATAAGCACAACTGACACCTGCTTTTGAAGCAGAATCTTTGACTCCAGGAAAAACGTGACTGCATACCAACGTTGAAAGGGGAAGTGTAACCCCATTCAAGGTCAGAAGGAATATACTCAAATCTGGATGGTTGAAACACCCATAGTCACTAGGTCTTGGTAGTAATGAGTTGGAGGTTCTCCCTATCCAAACTCACAACCTCCATGCAAAACCTTGACAGCATTATTTGCTGGTTCCAAGTGAAAAGATATAACCTCAAACTAGCAGATGACCTCACCCAGCAGTTTCATATTTATCTGTTTATTTTATTTATATTTCCTATTTCTAAACAGTCCATCTCCTTCAGAAAAAGGAGGTATGAGAGAGTAAGCGTGCAGGGTGACAACAAATTCACCAGTGCCTTAAAAACTGTCTGGAACAACTAAATCCTTCTTTGTTTCAAACTCAAAATTATGCTGACCAAAGGCCAATTGCTTAAGAAATCCTTGATTTATTTAGGCAGATCCTATACTGGAGAATATTCTAAATATGGTAAGATTGTTTCTGAGATAACATTCCATGCTAACACTAGAACTTTGTATTAGGTCTAGAAAACAACAAACCCCCAATCAACTGCATGTTTTCCATATAATTATCTATGTTCCAACTCAATCTAATTATCCTTACTTATAATTTCTAGGACTACATAATTGCCCAGTATTATTAGAACCAATCAAATATAATTCCAGCAATTACCAATGAGAAGTCTTAGCGCCCTTCTTAGAAAAGTCAAAGTTGCAACTTATTTAATATTTTAAATTGCAAGAAAAGATCTACACAAAAAGAGGAAAGATACTTGCTACAGTGTTCCTTTCCTGCCATGTATGGAACTGACCTTTATGGTACCTTGTAGCATTACTCACTACAGTGTAGTATAGAGAACTCTGATGTCAATGATTTGGGAATTGTAAAGCCAACTGCCTCTATCATTCCTGTTCTATTTTTTTCAATGAGATTCTTGAGAGTCTTACCTCATCTGAAGAAAAATAAGGTTCTTCAATTACTCTCAATGGATCTGACAAGAAAGTAAACATAAAATCTTGCACCAAGGAAAGGTCTGCAGCCCAAAGCTCCTGTATACGAGGATGGAGAAAGGTGGAGTTTTAGAAGCTAGATATTCTATTTATTACTAAGTAAGTAAGTAAATACATACATACATATATACAATCATATTTTTAAATTTTATGACTGATATCTAAGTTAAGTCCATAGAAATAGAACTAGGGGATTAGCCATTTTGGATCTAATTCTCACTAACAGAGATGAAATGATAGAAGGTGTTGAAGCCACAGGAACCTTGGGAGGAAGTGATCATGCAATATTGGAATTCAACATTATGGAAGCACAAGCAATAGAACACAGTCAAACTAGAATCTTGGACTTTAAGAGAGCTAATTTCAATAAACTTAGAGAGGGCTTAGGAAGGATTCCATGGATGAGAATCCTCAAGGGGAAAACAACTCAAGAAGCTTGGGAAATTTTGAAAAGTGAGATAATAAAAGCCCAGTCCCACACAATACCAACAAAGAGGAAAAATAACAGCTCTCAAAAGAAACCAGCATGGCTGCATAAAGAACTCTCTGACAAATTGAAAGATAAAAAGGACAAGTATAGAAAGTGGAAAGAGGGCACATAACTAAGTCAGAATATCAGCAAATAGCCCGAGCTTGCAAAGATGAAGTGAGGAAAGCTAAGGTTCAAAATGAACTAAGGCTTGCGACCAAAGTCAAAAATAACAAAAAAGCTTCTTTCAACATATAAAAAACAAGAAAAAAGTGAAGGAAATGATTGGTCCATTAGTGGGGGAAAGTGGCAAGAAGGTGACAAGCAACAGGGAGAAAGCAGAACTATTTAACTCATTTTTTGCATCTGTCTTTACACAAAGGGGAAAAAACAGACCAACCTACCAAAAATAGTGCCATAAAAACAAAACAGAAATACAAGTTAAGTGACCATCTGTCCAGTCTAGACGAGTTCAAATCGCCAGGACCAGATGGATTACACCCCAGGGTTCTCAAGGAACTGGCAGATGTGATCTCAGAACCATTGAACTATATTTTTCAAAGATCTTGGAGCAATGGGGAACTACCGGAGGACTGAAAAAGAGCTGATGTAGTTCCCATCTTCAAAAAAGGAAAAAAATGGACCCAGGAAATTACAGACTTATCAGCCTGACCTCAATACCTGGGAAGATTCTGGAAAAGATAATCAAACAACGAATCAGCGAACACCTAGAGGCAAACAAAGTCATTACTAAAAGCCAACATGGGTTTGTCAAAAATGATCATGCCAGACAAATTTTATCACATTCTTTGACCAAGTGACAAAATTAGTGGATCAGAGGAATGCTGTGGATGTAATTTACTTGGAGTTTAGTAAGGCATTTGATAAAGTAGATCACAACCTACTACTTGATAAGATAGAAAAATGTGGGTTAGACAGCATCACCACCAGATGGATCTGTAGCTGGCTGACCGGCCATACTCAGCGTGTGGTCCTCAATAGAACTGCATCTACACGGAGGGAAATGTGTAGTGGGGTGTCCCAGGGCTCTGTTCTGGGCCCAGTGCTCTTCAACATCTTCATCAACGATTTGGACGAGGAGATAGATGGCGAAATCATCAAATTTGCAGATGACACCAAGCTGGCAGGAATAGCCAATACTCAAGAAGATAGGCTTAGGATACAGGAGGATCTGGACAGACTTGAACACTGGGTGCTATCTAACAAAATGAAATTCAATGGTGAAAAAAGTAAGGTTCTACATTTAGGCAAGAAAAACCAAACGTACAGGTATAGTATAGGGGGTACCTTGCTCAATAGTAGTAACTGTGAGAGGGACCTCAGAGTCCTAGTGGACAATCACTTAAATATGAGCCAGCAGTGTGCTGCAGCTGCCAAAAAGGCCAACACAGTGCTAGGCTGCATTAACAGAGGGATAGAATCAAGATCACATGAAGTATTAATACCACTTTATAACGCCTTGGTAAGGCCACACTTGGAATACTGCATCCAGTTTTGGTCACCACAATGTAAAAAAGAAATTGAGACTCTAGAAAGAGTACAGAGAAGAGCAACAAAGATGATTAGGGGACTGGAGGCTAAAGCACATAAGGAACGGTTGCTGGAATTGGGTATGTCTAGTTTAATGAAGAGAAGGACGAGGGGGGACATGATAGCAGTGTTTCAATATCTCAGGGGCTGCCACAAAGAAGAGGGAGTCAAGCTATTTCCCAAAGCGCCTGAAGGCAGGACAAGAAGCAACGGGTGGAAACTAATCAAGGAGAGAAGCAACCTAGAACTAAGGAGTAACTTCCTGACAGTTAGAACAATTAACCAGTGGAACAACCTGCCTCCAGAAGTGGTGAATGCTCCAACACTGGAAGTTTTTAAGAAGAGACTGGACAGCCATTTGTCTGAAATGGTATAGGGTTTCCTGCCTTTATTATTATTATATTATTATTGTTGTTGTTGTTATCATCATTATGTTACTTCATCTAGCTAACCTTGGGTGATTTCAAAAAACGTGAACAGTGTTGAACTAGTTGCATGAAAGACTACCAGAAAACACTAGGCCTACTCCACAGAGTAGTTTAGCAACACTTTAAAAAGGCAATGACAAACCATTTCTTAGTGATTGCTAAGAAAATAATGTAGGCATATTCACATTAATTACCAGAAATCAAGTACAGCTTAAGCAAAACTTTTATCTGCATCAAATTTTGGTTCTTATTCTTTCTCAACATCTCTCTCTCTCTCTCTCTCTTTCTCTGTGTTCCTTCTACAATATGAACTTACCATTTGGTATTCTAGCAAAAATGTCTGGAACTCTGACAGAGAAATTCTGTGGTATTCGGATCTCTCCCCATTGCTTTAAGATAAAGTGCAAGATAAGACAGGTGGGTTAGAAGGCAGCTGTCACTTCTCGAACCCAAACAAGCTTAAATATATAGAGTTACTGTTTACATATAACTCTCGTACATAACATGAAGATGCAATGGTGGATTCTCATGTGAAGTTATGTCAAAAATAAATTACATTATGGATTAATGTCATATTTAAACAATGCCAATGCAAAAATTAACATGGCAGTGAAAGTAATAGATAAAGCTTGGCTATTGATAGAGCTCATTCCTTTACATTGACTCTATCAGGGAAAATTGGGACAAGGAACATATCAGCATAAAGGATTGTGGTCAGACAGTATCAGACATATATCTGATATCAATAAATAACAGACTTCAAATGCAAGTTTGATTAAAAGGAGCACAGAACTTTCAAGAATACTGAACTTTGTTATCACAGCAATTGGTAAAAAAGCAAAATAATTTGCATAAATGTTGCATTTTGCTATCAGACATAATTCTGTAATGGCTGGCACCAAATTATTAGAAAAAGCAGCTCTTGTCCCAGAATTTGAGATTTTATAATATTTCCAAAACAGATCAATACAACAATATACAACCATACCATACTGTGCAGTGAAATAGAGAACTAACAGAACACTATGAATGCATAATCTGTGCTTTGATTAATTAACTAATGATTCATTATCAGCATATTCTGATAGCTGAAAGCCATTTTAATTTCCATCCCAGCCCCAATAGGAAATAAAGCAGTTTACCTTTCTAAGAATGGAACAGCCATCTACACAGAAGAAACAAAAGTCAGTCATTGTGCTTATTAAATTTAAGCATCCTACTTTGGACGTCAATAGAGGAACTGCAATGCTGCTTCTCACAGAAATAATAAAGCCATTTTCCAGTGTATAGTTTACAAAGGTCCTGAACAGACCCTTCAGTGATTCCTTATGTACAATCATTATACATACGGATTTTTGCATATGCACATGAAAATGTGTGTGAAGGTGAGTGAGAATATGCACGACAGTACCCACCTCTAAGAAAATATTGCTGAAAGATAAAAATAAAGTCTGTAGAATAATACATTTATTAGTTCTTTAAAAAATGTCATCAGAATTAAGATCAGAAGCGTCTTACTCCTTTCTGTGCATTGTACATCAAGCTCTGGTACAGCTGAACAAATTGTCCATAAGTGATATCCCCATTTCTCTGCTCCACATCCTGATAGTAAAGAGAAAACAAGCAAACAAAAATCTTAAAATAGGCTATTATTCTGTCATATATATATTATCTCATTTGTGATAAATAAAGCACTCACTGCTTTTTGCTTGTACCATTTTCTAAAAGAAGGGGAGGGAAGAACTTTTGTGTTTTAATAATGCATCTTAAATGTACAAAGCAGAGATGCATTTTCAAGATCTTTTACCATCTTTTCCCCAATCTTCCTTAACTTGCTTTGGCCATGTAGGCTCAGCAATTTGAGATTTCAAGATAACATACACATGAAGAATTCCAGACTGGGAAAGACTGGTTTATTCACTAATAAAAAGAAGAAACTGTATTTAAGGTACTATTTATTTATTTATTTATTATTTAAATTTATATACCGCCCTATCTCCCTTACGGGACTCAGGGCGGTGAACAGGGAGGTACTAGGATTACAACCAAAGAAATTCAGATTCAATCCCACTCTTGGCAAAGGAAGTTCACCAGGTGATTTAGCCAGTTAGTCTTTCAGCAATACCTACTTCATATTGTTAATTGTGGGATAAATGAGAGGAGACAGCTCTTTGTACCCCACCCTGAGCTCTTGAAGGACAGATATAAATCTAACAAAAAAAAAATGCAGAAGGTTCCAGATACAAATGATCAGTAACAATAAAGTTCTTAATCTGAGTAGAACAAGACCAATCTCAATAAATGGGTAAATTCATAGGGTGCAGCAATCTGAAATCCAAATGTGACATCCAGCAGTTCTAATCCTGCTTTAGGCATCAATCCACCTTGGGTCAGTCACACTTTCTCAGCCCTAGGAAGCAGGCAATGGCAAACCATTTCTGGAATTTGCCAAGAAAACTGCAAAGACTAGTCCAGGGCAGTCACCAGGCATCGACGCTAACTTGATGGCACACACAAAAAAATAATTAATTTTTTTTTTTAAAAATCATACAATAGTATATCAAGCTGCAACTTTTATCAATGAGATCAAAACTCTGCACATATAAACAAGGAGAAAATACCAAATACTTACTGATAATCTCTCTCTTAGAAATCTCATGTTGGGGACACGGTAGTTGACTTGAGATAGCATATTTTTTAAGTCTTTTGCAGAAATTCTACATTAGCAGGGTAGGAAAAAAGAGAATAAATGAATGAGACATATTTTTGTAGTTATGCACTGCAACTTTTAAAATTCTCACAATTGCTTGAAAGATGGAAAACACAATAAAACAAGATAAGCATTATTATGAAAGGATAAAAGCATTTCCTCCATTCCACCCCTCAGATGCTGCACCTGTCAGCCTCCTGACATAGTTCAGAATAGTTCTTAAGAGTAGTCAATGTTGGCCTCTTGTGAGGCCTTGCCTGTTAGTCTTCCATATATTCTGGCTTTGTGGGATCACTGTGGAAACTGAATTTTTTAAAAACAAACTTCCTTCCATTTTTCTGATGTTCTGATGTTCTAACTATCAGATTTAAGTTGATTATCCAAAATCCTATGATTTATTTCCTTAAAAATGGACAAAAACACTTCAAGCTAATCAGTGAATAGAAAAAAAAAATCATAGGTCAAACCTATCAACAACCCTTGGCCAAACAGAAGAGATTATCTCGAAGTACTTCCAAAATTACAAATACTGGAGTAGTTATTAAAACCAGCAGTCTCAGACTGTAGTACGTGAAAGGAAATTGTTGTTGTGGTTCTTTTCCAAACAATTGAAATTATTTCAAAATAAACATTTGTTTTTTCTTCTTTTTCCTCAATAGCTATAGAAAAGGAGGTTTGCTTTCTTCAAATTCATAAATTACTTGAGAAATGGGTCTCCTTCAAATAATACAAATTATTTGTATAGACTTTAAAAAAGCAAGAGAAGAAGAAAATCAATGTTTGAGCTGTGGGGCTGGAGAAGTCTCCTGCCGGCGTATTCCTTAGGAAGCAAAGGTGACAAGCAAATAATGGAGTGCCTAACACCAGACATGTCACTAGAAGGCAAAATCACAAAACTGCATCTCACTTACTTTGGTCATGTCATGCGGGGGAATTCACTGGAGAAAGCAATTATGTTTGGAAGAGTCAGTGGTAAAAGGAAACCTGGCTGTCAAAAAATACAATGGCTGAACACTATCAAAGCTTCACATCAGCCAGAGCATAGAAAAACTCAATAGTGCAGATTAGAAGATGAGACCTGGCCCATAGAATTGCCAAGAGTCTGACTCGACTGAACGGATAATATCATCATCACTATACTGTAATAAATTGTTTCTTGACTTTATCAAGAAAGAATGTGTTTCTCAATTTTAATTGTGCTTCTGAGGTTCAATCTATGCTTATCAACAGTGAAAACCAATTATCTTCTATGATTGATCTCCCCTTGCAATTTGCAGCACTTAAGGAAGAATATTGCAATATTATTCATGAGGGGTCATCAAACAGGTCTAGGCGGATCCAAGACAACTCACCACCGCCAACTCACCTAGGCCACCTTGCCATGGCCAATGTGCCACAGAAAACTCACTGTGGCCAGCTCACCACAGCCAACTTGCCACGGGACAATTTGCCGTGGCCAATTTGCCAGACAAAAGTTACATAATACTGAAGAAACGGTGAAATAGAATCATTATAGAAAGGATGAAAAAGGAGGGACAAAATGAAATGTTTGACTGAAATCATATCTTGCTGACTAGGCACTCTTATGGAAGCAATGTATAAGAGGCTCCTTGAAAATTAAATTGCACAATTGTTTGGCTGAGATACAAAAACAGTAGTAGGTTTATCACTCCTACACTACACGATATACCACTACAACTTTTTTATGTTCTGATCATCAATTGAATTAATCAATTCCCCAAATGTTATACTGGAATACAATAATCAAAACCATTCTTCTGAAAAATTGCAAGTTTCTTGTCTGCTTGGAGTACATATCCCATAACCACACCAAATATTGTAGTGACCATGAAACATGGAAGCAGGGGAGCCTGGAGGCTTCAGAATGAGGTGCTAGTCTGCAATGAACCACTTGCTGGGTTCCTCTTTTCCACAGAGCAAGACTGCTGCTGAGTTCTTATAATATATTGCAATTTGTCAGTCCACCAATGACTGATGAAATCCAAAAGAAATCTATTGCAGATGATGAACTGTTGGCAAATAACTCATGTGTTCCTGGCATCCAAGAAATGCCGGTCTCCTCCACCCAGGAACAGAGATTGTAAAACTCTTCCCACAACAAAACAAGATAGCTGGAATTAATCCACTTAGGGAGGGGGACCCCCCCCAAAATTCGGTTGAACTCCTGAGAAATGCATGTTGCAGACATATAACCTTACAGTCCAAAGATTAGCTCAGTCATTAGTTCAGGAAATGGAATTTGGCTACAACCCATTTATGACTTCCAGATCTCAGTGGGTGAGAAAAAAATATCTTCTCCGTTTTATACATATTTATACACATCTCCACACCCACACCCACACAGTCCAGTATTTAATGATTCCAGTAACAAATGGAAATCCTTTCCATCATGCTCTGCCTGCTTTTTGGTCCTGCCCCATAAACTGGTGTGGGCAGTCCACAATCTCACTTAAATGCCAAGCATGGCTGCTCAGCGTGCAAAGGTAATATACCTCTGCAATATTTATTTTATTTATTTCCTATCATTATTATTTTTATTATTTTATAAACAATTATAAACAATTCAAGGCAGTGAATATAAGACTCCTTCCTCCTATCTTCCCCACAACAACAACCCTGTAAGGCAAATGGAAAGAGAATGACTGGTCCAAGGTCACAAAGCTGGCACATGTCACTGAACCAGTTTTGATTTCCAACATTTTACAAATTAGCAAGTGCTAAATATCTTCAGTATTTCTTGAAGAAGCCTGGTGCACAGGTTTAGTATAGCAAGGAAGCTTTAGCAACACACTGTCAAATATGTATGAATAGTTAATTTGATTCCCAGGACACAATTTCTCCCTCTCCTCTTTGGCTGGAAGCAAAGAGAGACTGACGCCAACAGGCAGCAGTAGAAAGCACTGCACTTAAGCAAAAGCACATTGACAAATTGAGCCATTCTAATCTGTTCTGAGGCATACTTTGAATTTTCATTGCCAAATGTGTTACACATTAATCTTATAGATTTTAACTGGACAGTAGATTTTACTATAGCTTCCCTCTCAAGAAGAATTCCCTCAATAGTTTGATGACCTTGGAAACACATGTACACTAGATGCAGCTGTTCTATTGTCAAATAAAACATTAGGATTTTTTTTAGAAGTCTTCCTCTTCACAAAGACTGAGAAACTATTGAACTCATATATATCAAAAGGCTTCAGTTATCTCAGAAAATCTCAATGAATCCAATGAATTTTAACACATTGCAATTGTTAATTGATAAGGTTAACTGATTATCAAGGACTTCTGGGGAAGAAATGAAGATAACTCTGCTAAATGTGGAGCCAATGATCATGGCAGAATTTGTTGCATTTTAAAAGAAGGCATAAGTTATTAAAATTATTTATACTTGTTGTGATAAAGGGAAAAACCATTTCTTTATATATTTCTCTTTTTGTACTATATATTTTTCTTCCTTTTCTATTTTTTCTTTTCTGCATTTTATTTGTATTATTAGTCGTATTATTTTAATTGTAACTTTTAATAAAATTAATATAACAAAAGATAAATTACTTGTAACATATCTTGTGTAACTTGCATCTGCATAACCAAGCTATCTTCCTTTTCCTTTCCACTTATCTCACCACAATTTAAATTGTGCATAGTAAATTGCAGCTCACAAAAGCTTATGGCTTTTAATAAAACTTGTTAATCAGAAAAGGTGGTTCCAGACCCTTGATTTTCTGTGAACATACTATGTTATTGAAAATAGTTGCAAAATTAATCTTGTGAGACACAGTTTTGACTGTCATTTTGATTGATTAATTAATTGATTCATTCAATTTCTATAGCTAACCAACTCAACCAGGTGACTCTGGGCGGCTTACAAATCATGAGCTATGTTAGTTTTCTTATTAAACAATTTACTTAGGCAATGGCATTCACTTTTGCTGAAGATACAGTGGCCTATATAAAGAAAAAGGTTGGAGACTACTAAGATATCTCAATGGCCAGTGATGATTTTGTAGCTGAAACTTTCAACAAAAAAGCAAATACATCCACATAAAGAGGATAAGTGCCATTCAGAATTTAAAAGCCTATAATAAATTGTTTTTGATTGTTAAATTGTTCATAATCTAATTGTTCTCCTTATACAAAAAGCAGCCCATTAACTTTTCTTGGAAAAGGGTCATTGTTAAACTTGTAAGTCCATTGTATCTTGGTTCTTTCCCTTTCAAACTGGGAACAGGAAAACACAGTGGAATCTTTTTTTATCAACACACAGAAATTAGAAAAAATGACAAAAGTTCATTAGGTACCAGGCTGGCTTAGTATATGTGTTGAAAACTTCTCTGATCAGTGTTTATAATAATAATAATGATGATGATAAAGTTGGAAGGGACCTTGGAGGTCATCTAGTCCAACCCCCTGCTCAGGCAGGAAACCCTATACCATTTCGGACAAATGGCTGTCCAGTTTCTTCTTAAAAACTTCCAGTGTTGGAGCATTCACCACTTCTGGAGGCAGGTTGTTCCACTGGTTAATTGTTCTAACTGTCAGGAAGTTTCTCCTTAGTTCTAGGTTGCTTCTCTCTTTGGTTAGTTACAGCTCCATGTTCTATTAATGTTGTGACTGCCTCTGTCTTGGTTTCCAGACACTCTGCAAACAAGCTAAAGTCTCTTGTCAGGGCAGGAAATCAGTAGAAATAAAAATCACAAAATAGAACAGGGGGAACCAAGCACTCTAGGGCTAGGAAGAGGTCCCAGATCCAGCCCCTCATTTTCTGCTGCTTTCAAGTTTCTTGCATGTTCCTTGGCTATTTCAGCCACAGGTGCATAATTGCTAGGCTCCTCTTGAGGCTGGCCTTCACCTAAGGCACCTTAAGCAACTTTCTCCATCTCAGAATCTTCTCAGTTTTAGTTATTTATCATCTTGGAAGGAAAAGAGAATTGTAGCAGTCACAGTTATACCATAGAAAGGCCTGAAGAGCTGGGGATGTATCATCCTGGAAAAGCTATCTAAGCCAGTGTTTCTCAACCTTGACAATTTTAAGGCATGTGGACTTCAACTCCCAGAATTCCACAGCCAGCAAGGCTGGCTGTGGAATTCTGGGAGTTGAAGTCCACATGCCTTAAAATTGTCAAGGTTGAGAAACACTGATCTAAGCGCTAAGATTATGACCTAACGGCTCATAATCAAAACCAGTTCCCAGCATATCATGCAGAAATATGTTGCATTTCCCAGAATCCTCCCTTTTTAATTTTTATGAATCAATCTTTCAGATACACAGCCACGTGTTCTGCAACAGACTCTGGATATAGAACACATGGGAAATACTTATCAGCTGCTGGATTTCACTACTGCCCTGTGAGGTTTTAAGCATCCATCTTAAAATGTCCTCAGTACTCCCCAGTGTGATTTCTCATGTTGGTCAATGACTGTGGTTTAGTCCAAAGGAATGAAAAAAGTGAATGCTGAAATTTATTGCTAGCAATCTGCTAGCCTTTCCTGTTTAAGAGCTGTGTTGCATTATGGGTTACTGTATAGTAACTATATGCACTTCCTTGAAGGAGATGCAAATCTAGAACCTTACTACTCTAATTCCTACATCAATTTCACCACACCAATTCTTTCTTTCTCTTTCTGTTAAACCTTTGTTAAAATACAATAAATGATCTCTTCTTCCCATATCCCATCTCTTTACCTATACACAAATCCCTAAAAGTTTGTCAGCAAAAGTCCATTAAGGGTTGGAATAGATAACAACATATCTGTTTTAACCTCGATCAAATAATTCAAGTTTATGTTCCTTTCTTTTACTTTTTCAAGGATTGTCAAATTAATATTCAGCCAATAAGCATTTGGAGGTGAATACATCACACAAACACATCAGAGATTGTTATTCCCCATGATGAATGCCCCTCCAGGATCTAGTTTTTGCCAGTCACCAAAAGACTTATTACATTTAGAAAACCCTAAACAGAAATATAAGGATTTATTGTGGAAGAACCTGAAGGGAAATTCCAGCACACAAGCCTACGTTTCTGAATCTCAGACAGCAATTGTGCAATTATTAGAAATACTTTGTAGAAAAGTGCTACTGTCACGTGGGAGGCTCATGTGACATCAAGTTGAAAGAACACATACGAGAGACCACAATAAAGAGTTCACATTATACATGTTGAAATATTTTTTTTGAGGGGAGAAATAGAATAGCCTATCTCTATATAGCATATGGCAAAGCATATGTTCATATGAAGCTCCTGAACTTCCTTAATAAGATTCCCATTGAGATTTGTTGTTAGTAAGAAGACAAGGGATTTTGTTTCTCATGGTGTGCAGATATTTTGTTCTATTGTTACTTCTAGTTAAATGCATTTTTAAAATTCAATTGGAATGAACATATTATTTCAAATTGCCTTCACTTTCTTGAAGAGAGAGAGAGAAAAGTTCGGGTCTCCAGCATTCACCTTTAATGTCCAAGCTCATTCATCCTAATATGTGGATGTCAAGAAAATAAACCACCTTTGCATTAAATTATGGAGTACCTCAGAGTCACAGTTAAAGAAATTTAATTAATTATTAATTCAAGTATTAGTCTCTTCATCTATCAATTAACTTACATACATTTATATGCAGACAAAAATATTCCCAGAATAGTATTCTAAGTTTCCTGTTGCAGCAGAATTCATTTTAGTTGAAGCACTCTTGCATTTTTCAAAAACAACAATTATTGATTGTTGTCTGCAGTTTTTTTCCAAGCACTTATATTTATGCATGTACACACACACACACACACACAATTTACATGCACATACAGTGGAAAATGTTACTTCTCTATTAATCAAGAGGCATATTTTTACTTAATTAAAATGTTACTTTTTTCCTGTTAGGAATAGACACTATTCCTACTTGGATTATACTACTGTTCTAATCATCCAAATTCATTTTTCGATTAAATTAAACAGAAAACTAATTTTTAGACTTGTATGCCCTCTTTTCTTACTCAAATACATCACATCTCATAACGTATAACAGTAGCTTTCTATTTACCTATCCTCTCTGTTGCGGTCGATAAAGTAGAACTGTTTCCGAAGCCACCTAAAAGTAAATAGTTTTGAAATATTTGTAAATATGTCAGTGAATCACAAATTCTTCCTCTTTAAGAATCCCCCAAATCCTGCAGATTATATATGTTTGAACTACTATGAAAGGAAGCATGGGTTTTAATACACATAGAAAGATGCTGGCAATGAAGGAGAGGCAGTGAAACCTATATATAGTATGCCCTGTGCTTGAAATGGTCCTTCTGTTACAAATTGTTTTCTTACCTTTCAATTTGCAATGGAGTAGCAGCTTTTAGGGTATCTGCCACAAGCCAGTTCAACCCTTTGATCCACATGTTGACTTCATCTTCGGAAGTGGCTGTGAAAATAAAGAACAAACCGAGCCTGTCAAGACATGACACAGGCACTGACCCCTATATCCAAGAAGGAAGTCACTTTGCAGCTGGTTTCCAATAGACGGAAACTAACCCCATCAATTTTGATATTTACAAATTATAATAGCTATAAAACCAGTCTTTAAAGAGGAACAATCACATTATTTCAACGCATTCAATTCATTATGCTCTCTAAGTAAGGAAGAAATGTGTTTGTTATCTTCTGAGGCAAATCCCACATGGCAAACAAGAAGGATCTACGGGGAACTTCAGTAATCAAGTTAGTTCTTTTTTCATATTTTCAGACCATAAATGTGCATGCCAAAACTTACTTTAGCATAGCTGAATGTCAACAAACAGGCTAGTGCCATGCTATGAAAGCTAATAATCATTTAAAGATATGTCTATCAGCCAGTTCAAACAACTATCCTACAGTAGCATAATAAGGATGCAGATTGATCGCTCTTATTCAGAATATGGTATATAGTAACATGTTTGCTTAATTGTTTCATGCCACATTCACTATTCTAGTCAGTCTATTCACTGCTTGTGCAGCCATAGGGCACATAGTATGAGTTGAGGGTTGGGCACCCCAGATTCTGCACAAATCCAGAATCCTGCCCTATGATTAATGCCTTTTGAAGAATTACCCTCAACAAAGGGAAGTGAGCAGAACACGATCCATACTGAACAATGAGATTTTTCTTTATCTTCCCCTTAGTTTACCTTAGAAAGTACTCTATATAGGATCCCCCCCC